TCATGTCGTGTCTATCCGCGTTGGCCGCGTTGACCGCGCGATGCGCATGGCATGTGGATTTCTGTATAATCTCAGAACAGTCCCACGAAGATGGAGTACGTTCTCACTTCTCGACGATCAGCTGCTGTAGCGACGTGCTGTTTGTAAGGCTTGTCCGTTACCATGAATCCGTGGCCGTCCGCCAACGCAATGTCTTCCAAAGGCAGTTTCATCTTCAGATGTTCCGCGCTGAAGTTGCCATCCATCACGAAGGTTTGGGTGTACTTCCATCTATATCGCGTGGTTACCGCCATAAGTCTCCTAATGATACCAACTGCCAACTCACTGCTCTTGATCCTGCTCCCAGCCTGGCAGGAGGTTGACGCCTGGACGAGGGCAAGCGACACAGGCCAACGCGAGGGATCCCGGTCCTATGTCACTGCGACCATGCCCAAATCCATACCACTTTCGGTATTTTAAATTTCGCCATTGACGACTAACGCGAAGCAGCTCCCTATATCGATCCTAGGGCCGTTGTAAGCCAACTGCACGAAATACACTATGCTGCTTACCGGGACATCATCTGGAAACGATGGGCTTGTCAAACGTCGCAATCGCTCGAAGTAGCTCTGAGCTGCGTTTCCGGAGATCTTGTTAGCTAGAAGGAAGTCGTCCAGTGCTCGGAAGGTGAACGCGGTCGCAGGCTGTTTGACTGTAGCAGGGTATAGACCCATTGCCAGGAGCTGAAGATGGTCGCTGTCACCCGATGGGCAGCTGCACCACACAACGCAGACCATATGAACACCAGTGATGTCCACAACGGTAATGGATCGAGCTCTAGCGTGTGTTTGTTGTGGTTGGCCGCAGTCGGTGACATTTGTCTCCTCGTTTTCGCGGGTACGCGGGTTGCACGGGCAACACTTACCTCCGTGCCCAAGCGGCACACGAAGCCCAACTGACTCGAGACAGCTCCTCAAGTAGTAGCCTCCATCAAATGAAACGCCTTGTAAGGTGTCGGACACAATTCGCAACGGCATCTCTGACCTTTATCGTCTTGAAGTCCAGCCGGCGTGCCGCCGTCTTGGCTTGTACCGATATGACCTCCGTCTTGACTCGGACCGGCGGGACCACCGCGTTGGCTCCCACCGCGTTGGCTCCCACCGCGTTGGCTTCTACCGCCTTGACTCCCGTCTTGGCTTTGGCTGGGATGAGGCTGTGGCAGACCGCCGTCATCGTCCGTTTGCATTATGTCACTCTCATCAGCCGAGGCTTGATGCCTGTGAGTTGCGTTTCCTCCTCTCTATTGATGCTTGTCAGACCATCCTCACACCTTTGGGGACATCGTCTTACAGTTGGCGAGGCAATCCATTCTTCGATTCGGTGAAGAAAGTCATTTGCGTGACGTTCCAAGCAGCAACCCGTGCATAGGGACGGCCTGCCGTTGCAGTCTGTGCATCTCCATTGGGCAGACACCGTCTTGCAGTCCCTGCATTGTCTCTCATCCGTAGGAGCCTCAGCATTGATTAGATATTTCAAGAATATTGAGCGATGTGGCAGCCAGTCGTTCAAGAAATCCGCTTGTGACTGTGGGCACCCGTCAGTCTCTGCAGTCACCCCCTCTTTGATGCAGCTCACCTTCCCCGAACGGCCCTTGCCCTTCACGTGCTCTGGTCCGAGCTGAATGTTCACTCCTAGGTCAACGTCCTGGGTCATGTCTGCAGGACGCTCTCGGGGTGCTCTGCTAGGCCTTCCTGTTGTTAAAACGTTTGGTGCTCCCGAGCTGTGTCGTTTAATCTCTTTCATCGAATATGTTGTTCCGCGCTTGGTCACCTTCTTGACCGCCATTGCAACGCGAACAACGACCTTTGGATCTAAGGTGTTCCTCAGGGGAATCTTTATGGCCCGTTTGCCTGTCGGTGTTCTCATGGTGCCTACTGAGAATGGAGGTCGTCGGTCAAGCCCAGCTGATTCGATTCTGTACGGCATGGGAGAGGGCTTATCGGATGTACACGTGCAGGTGGGCATGGGCGTAGGCTAGTTTTCCAGGACCGGATGGTTCGCCTAACTTCCCTTTCCGTTGATAGCTCCACAGTTGCAATCGGCCATCAGTCCTCTCAGCCAGACATGTATTCAACGTTGTCGTGGGCGAACTTTTAGCTTGCGCGTGGGGCGCTTCAAAGCGGTGAGCGTGCATAGGAATGCGACGATAGTGAGGACTATCCAAGACGGTGCTACTGGTCTCTGCTGGGCGGCTGCAGATTCTCCCGAAGCTCATTAACAAGCGCGCTCAAAAGGACTACCCTCTCGTTCGCCTCCGACAGGGCGGCGCGCAGCTCGGTGTTGGCACCGCGTAGGACGTCGATCTCCAGTATTGCTCGCCCTGCCTCATCACGAGCCCTTTCCCACTGATCCTCCAGGAAGTCAATACGGTCGAATGCTTGCTCAAGCTCTTCACGCCGGTTGTCCATTTCGTCGTCGTGCACCTCCTGCAGAACTCGCAGCTGCTCCTGAAACCATCCAAACGGGGAGGCGTCGCTACTCGATTCGTCGTCCTTGTCCCGGGCTGTCTGGGTTTCGCTTGATGTGGGTAACAGCGAGGGATCGTTTGCCGCTGCTACGTCTTCAGAGCTCGAAGGTGATAATGGAGGGGATTGGGCGGCCTGGGCAGAGAGAGCAGCAGTCACTCCTCCTGGCAATCTGAGTCAAAGCGGTAGGACTTACGCCAATGTACGCCGCTCTGAGCAGGCCGTCAGGGGATTCCGACCGTTCCTCTCGCATCGGATGAAGCTCGCTGCTTTCCGACCGTCCTTGCAGCCAATGCGTGTAAGCTCGTTGTTCAATTAGCGGATAATCGTAAGTAGCGAACCTGTCTCAGCCTGCGAGGGTAGTGGTGTATTCGACATCGCTGGCGGAGGGGCGAGGTCGACTTGCAATGTCAGTCAAGGCAGCCCTACATCTTTTTGTTATGGCTTGTATTGATCGCACGCTTGAGATGGCCGGCTACAACTGCCCAGAGCCAGATGATCTTGTATCACTTGACAGGAGGCTGTCTGTTGTGATCGGAATGCGATCACCATATCAGGATGATGAGTGTATCGTGACTTCGGAGCCACGTGACAGTAGGCTTAAGTTCGGAGTTGAGCTCATGCCAGATTGGGGAAGAGCGAGTACTGAGCGGGAAAAAAGATGTCAAACCTAACATGAGTCCTCATGTAAACCTATAATGCCAGTGTTTGATCTGACACTGTACTGGGCCGTTTCAAGACGGTTATCGGCTGTGTCAAGACGGCGGGGTCAACGCGGGCTTATCAAGACGGTTGGCCCAGGTCATTTGACTCAAGACGGTTCAATCAAGACGGTTCGGTCAAGACGGTTCGTTCAAGACGGTTCGGTCAAGACGGTTATTGGATGGGCTTATGAGGGATCCAGTCTACGGCCTACGTTTGAGAAGTTCAAAATCTTAGTCAACGGTACACATCCCATCACCTATATTTGCTGCCTCCGCCAGCGGAGTCGTTTTGCTGTGTGTATCCTGGGTTCCATTCTTCAGCAGTAGTAGATGTCGAGGTACGCGGCGGCATTACTGGCAGCGGCGTTTCACGGCAGTTACACACAATTATTGCATCGATTCAATCTATGGTCCAGATTCTTGGCACAGCCATTGGTGCGCCAACAGACTGTCGTAGCTCAGCCGACTGGGTCGGTTGGGTCCAACCTTAGTGGTCGGCTGCAAACCATGTTCTAGCCTGTGGTCGGTTGCTTGTTTGCCATGGATGAGACAACGGTCGGCTTGCATCACAATGTGGTCGGCTGAGGACTTACTCCAGCCGACGGTCGGACAGTGGTTCGCCATGGATGAGACAAGACGGTCGGCTGGACCAAGACGGGCATCGGCCGCATACCATCTCTGGCCGACGGTCGGCGGATGGATTGGTATGGATGAGACGGAATGGTCGGCTGGACTAAGACAGGCATTGGCCGGACACACTCACTGGCCGACGGTCGGTGGATGGATTAGTATGGATGAGACGGAATGGTCGGCTGGGCTAAGACGGGAATCGGCTGCATACCATCTCTGGCCGACGGTCGGTGGATGGATTAGTATGGATGAGACGGAATGGTCGGCTGGACTAAGACAGGCATCGGCCAGACACACTCACTGGCCGACGGTCGGTGGATGGATTAGTATGGATGAGACGGAATGGTCGGCTGGACTAAGACAGGCATCGGCCAGACACAATCACTGGCCGACGGTCGGTGGATGGATTAGTATGGATGAGACGGAATGGTCGGCTGGGCTAAGACGGGAATCGGCTGCATACCATCTCTGGCCGACGGTCGGTGGATGGATTAGTATGGATGAGACGGAATGGTCGGCTGGACTAAGACAGGCATCGGCCGGACACACTCACTGGCCGACGGTCGGTGGATGGATTGGTATGGGTGAGACTAAACGGTCGAGTGCTCTAAGACGGGCATCTGCTGGACTCATTTCACCAGCCGACGGTCGGTGGGCGTATTGGTATGGGTGAGACGGAATGGTCGGGTGAACTAAGACGGTGGTCGGCCGCAAACCATCTCCAGCCCACAGTCGGGTAGTGCATCGTCATGGGGGAGACACAATCGTCGGCTGGACAAGAATGTTTGGCAGTCACTAATTTGATTCATTTCTACTAACGTATGGTCCATTTTTGTATCGAGCTGCGTTGGGTAGTGAACCAATCCGTCTTGAGAGCCAATAGTCCCACGCGCCGCCTTGCCCGCCTTGCCCGCCTTGCCCTCGGCCGACCCGATTGCCTTCCGTGAGACAGTCGCGGTCGGCCGGCGTCGGCCCATCCCATCCTGTTCCACGAGACTGCGCGTCGGCTGTACCATGACCTTCCATGAGACAGCTGAATGGGCTCGACTGGACGGAAAGGGCAACACGCACTGTTTTAGACGCGGTGACGGAGAAACTGAATGACGCACAACAGCAATCCCTAATAGACACGATCTCAGAAGACGAAGTTGAAGAGGCCCTAGAGAAAGCTGGCACTGGCCGAGCTGCAGGTCTCGACGGGATACCGTACGAGTTCTGGAAGGCCCTACATCAAGAGCATACACGTAGACGAAGATTGGACGAAAACGCACCATCCTTTGATGCTCTCCGCATGCTCAGGCAAGCATACGCCGAATTCGAGACACACGGGCCACGCCCAGGCTCAAAGTTCGCGGAGGGATGGATGTGCCCCCTCCACAAGAAAGGAGACAAGAGAGAAATCGCCAATTATAGACCCATAACACTCCTCAACTCCGATTACAAACTATACACCCGAATACTCGCCACCCGCCTCGGCAGAATCGCACAGTCAATTATACATATCGACCAAGCCGGATTTGTACCTGGTAGACACATTGAAGACCAAACTCAGCTCTGCAAATCCACTGTGGAATACGCCGAGGCAATGGAAGAAGACGGGGTCATCATAGCCCTCGATCAGGAGAAGGCATATGACAAGATAGATCACACATACCTCTGGATGATCCTGGAAGTGTGCCGTTTCCCACCCGAGTTCATCAAAAGGATCAAGAACCTATACAAAGGCGCCACGACGGTCGTGATCCTGAACGGGGAAGTCAGTGGTTTCTTCGTGGTAATACGCGGAGTCAGACAGGGCGACCCCCTCTCATGCTTACTATTTGACATCGCCATCGAGCCCCTAGCCTGCATGCTCCGAAAATCAAGCCTTCGAGGTATCTCCATTCCGGGTCTCGCAGATCGTCTGGTGGCTTCTCTGTTCGCCGACGACACATCAACTTTCCTATCCAAGCACGATAAGTGGTCCCAACTCTGGGACGTGCTCCACACATGGTGCGCTGCCTCCAAAGCAAAGTTCAACCATCACAAAACGGAAGTCATCCCTATCGGGAGCGAGGAGTACAGGGAGTCGGTCTGGACCACCCGCCAAATCAACCCTGCAGAAAGCGATGAGCGTATACCCGCTAACATTCACATAGCCAAAGACGGTGAAGCTGTGCGAATCCTAGGCGCATGGATCGGGAACAAGGTCAACGACATCGCCGTATGGACGCCAGTCCTCAACAAGATTAGGCTCTTCCTGGAACGATGGGGCAAATGCCACCCGTCCCTCCAAGGGAAAAGACACATTGTACAGATGGGACCTGGGGGCATGTCCCAATACTTGACGAAAGTCCAAGGCATGCCCCCCTCCGTCGAAACAGAACTCACCAAAATGATTCGCAACTTCATATGGGGAGACTCCAAACCCATGATAAGCCTCGATATCCTACACAAACCACGCATAGAAGGAGGGATCGGCCTTCTCGATATCGCCACAAGGAATGAGGCGATCGAACTCACGTGGATCACAAAATACCTTGACCTGTCGGAGACCAGGCCAAAGTGGGCATATGTCTTGGACGCTATACTGAGCCACCACACTACAAAGGACGCAGGAGCAATTAGGCCAGAGGCCCAGATTAACAGCTTCCTCCAGAGCTGGAAGCCGGCAACATCTGGAAGATCAGGCCTGTCAACGCAGATCAAGTCGGTGCTCAAAACCGCAAAGAAACACGACGTAAGCTTCGCAGCGATCAGGCTGCACAGTGACCTCAAGAAACAACTTCCGGTCTGGTACCACCTCGGCGCAACATCGGCTCTGAGGAGACTGAATAACACAGGGTTAAGCGACTGCCTACGACTAACACACGGGGTAGTACGACTCACAGACGTAATAAGACTACTCGACCACCGAAGGGCACCAAATGACCCCGAGGGGGAACCATGCATGTGCGATGACTGCATGAACGCCAGGATGAATGGATGCAGGGACCCCGATGCCTGCCGGGCCGCGGGACGAAAGCTACTCGACCAAATCCGTCCCAAGTGGCACCCGGACTTCACTGCCCCCTCGGACGGACTGTCCCTGACCCGTCGCCGTAAAGACCAGAACACAGCTGCCCTCCTGGCCGACGATGACGTGGTCTTCGACCCAACAGTCACCTCGAGAGGCCAGGTCTCTGAAGCATTCCGTGCCTTCGTACACCCACAGGTTCACGATGCCCCACCCGCGATCCGCGCCAGACCAGGTCGCCAGATCGTCGAAGAATCAACGACGGTTGTGATCCTCAACACGAAGGAAATCGCATCCAAGTCGCAAAAAGCACGGAAGGTGAATGTAGGCTTCGCCTATTTCGGAGAAAGAGACCGACGAAACGCGCTAGTCGAACAAACAATCATAGAACGATCCCCCGGTGATGCCCTTGGAGGCATAATGGCGGCGCTGTACGCGGCAGAGACCGTGCCCTGGGACGCCCCGATACACCTGGTCGTGTCATCTGGCTTCCTCCGAACAGCCCTACTCGAGAAACTAGGCGTCTGGGAAGATAAGGGATGGATCGACGTCCCGAACGCCACGCACTTACAGGCTCTCGTAAACTGCCTCCGCCGACGATGCGCGGTAACCGCTATACGGGTGGCCGCCCAAGGCAACGAGGATGACAGGAAAAAACTTCGGGAAGCAACGACAGCTGCGAAATACACGAACCAACATGGGCCCAAAAAGAGGGTGATTCCAGCGGTCGCGACGAACTTCCACCTCTCCGGCGTCCGTCTGTCACGACTGACGCAATCGCTGGCGTACAAAGGCATATCTCAGCGAAAAACGCCGCCCCGGAGGTCACGCACTACCAAGATCGTCAACGGAATCATACAGCACTACAAGGAAACGCACCGCCGCACCGTCAACCAAGCTGATGTCTGGAAGTCACAAACACGCCCCGACATCCGGAGGCCGATCACGGACTTCCTGTGGAAAACAACTCACGGCGCCCTGAGGTGTGGCGAGTACTGGATAAACATACCAGGTTATGAAGACCGCGCCCACTGTTCGTGGTGCGGTCAACTTGAATCCATAGAGCACATCCTGTTTGAGTGTGCCGCGACGGGACGAGAGGAAGTGTGGTCCCTAATGAGGACCGTGTGGACCCGGAAAGGGCTGAGATGGCAGCAGCCAAACATACACGAAATCCTGGGCATTGGCTTGCGCGCGTGGACCGAGCCAACGAGTGGGAAGGAAGACATAGGTGTGACGCGCCTGTGGCGCATCCTAGGATCGGAATCTGCCTACATGGTCTGGAAGCTTAGATGCGAAAGGACGATAGGACACAGCGACCAAGACGGCTGGGAACACTCAGCCAGAACCGTCCGAAACAAATGGGTGCACTCTATAAACGCAAGACTAATACTCGACAGAGCGATGACACACAAGCGCTTCGGTCGAAGCGCCCTCAGTCAGGACGTCGCACTAAAAACATGGCGGGGCACCCTCGAGAACGAGGAAGACCTAACAGATGACTGGATTAAAACACGGGTTTTAGTGGGTATTGCACCGGGAATTCCCCAGTGGGATCCCGGATGAATGAGTCCCACACTGGCCCTAACAAGCCGTGCGTAAACCGCATTTTGCCCTGGATTGCATAGCGGGGGAACCCGCTTGCCGGCTGGTTGACCGGGCCGACCCCATTGGTTGGTGCCAGAAACCGTCACAGCCCTCCAAAAAAAAAAAAAAAAAAAAAAAAAAACTTCGCGGCCAGAGGCCTGTACGCACTCTGATGCGACCCAATGGGCGGACATCACTCACCGTGCTTTATGCACGGCCAGTCTCGGGTACGTGGTTAACAAATGCTGATGCTCTTCCGCTGAGTACGCCGGAATGGTAGCAGATAGTAGCCTATGTCGGTCAATCTGGATCATCCAACGCGCACTTCATACTGCGTGGTGTGGTCCCGCCCGCTTACTGCTGTACTACTGATCGTATTTGACCACTGAATGTATGGCAGATCACAGCAGATACTTATAACGCAGGACAATTGTTACTCACAGCCATGCAGGCGCTTAACATTGTTTTTTCTGCCTTGGTCACGCTTGGGAATCCCCGGTACAGCCATTTGCGTTTCCGTACGAAAAATGCGTACTAACTGACGTCTCATGTTGTCAGCCAGCGTCGCCGCCCTCGACCGTCGCTCTGCCAGCCAGCCGCGCCCAGGTGTCTTCGACTGTTCTCAACATCTTCCTGTGCCCTTGATGAGGCTTCCGGACTACGTTGCACGGTCTCACGTAACTCCTCACCGCCCTCTCGCAGTGCGTTCTCCGAAGATTGATGGCAGCCGATTGAATTGTCTGGTTAGCCTTCGCATACATATCAGTGAGCTCATCCGTTCTCTTCCATAGTCACTCTTTCTCCTAGCCTTGGTTCATGACACGATTCATGCGAACGAGCGCTATCCTACTTTTGGCATTGTTGGCGGTGGGTACAGGTGCCCTGTCCCCGAGACATAGACCTCTCGGAAGAAGCTTCGTCAAGAAAAACCAGATACGGCGGGACGCAGCGATTGTGGATCGCAATGGGACCGAATTGCCGCCTCTCAACACATACTACTTTGATCAGTTGATCGACCACACTAATCCCAGCATCGGGACGTTCAAACAGCGATATTGGCACACATGGGAGTTCTATGAAGCTGGTAAGCAGATATCGAAACGTAGTACATCGTCGCTGAGAAAAGAGGCATAGGCGGGCCAATCATTCTGACCACGCCCAGAGAAGGGAACGCAGAGGGTGTGTGTCCTCTACCAATTGAAGGGTCTGTGTTGAATGTATTCCGCCATAGGCTCTGAAGACTCCCTCGTAAACTCCACGATAAACGGGATGATCGCCCAGGAACTGAATGGATCGACGATCGTTCTGGAGCACCGTTATTATGGCTATTCAAACCCATATGATAACCTTTCAGTCGAGAGCCTGCAGTATCACACGATCCAGCAAGCGATTGACGATTTCGAGTACATCGCATACAACGTGAAGCTGCCGATGCCTGGTGGCGACCATGTAACACCGGACGAGGCGCCATGGATTCTCATTGGGGGCAGCTATGCCGGCGCGTTAACCAGCTTCACTAAAGTCAAGTAGGTTACCTTGCGCTCTTCCTATGGTATCTGATGCTAATCGCTCTAATCCCTGTAGCAAACCTGACGTGTTCTACGCTGCATGGTCCTTGTCAGGTGTCGTGGAGAGTATCGCGTACGTCAAACGACTGCATTCTCTTCTCGGTCCTATTGATGAGGATATCAGTGACTATTGGGGCTACTTCAATATCATTCGAAAGCATATGCCACAGAATTGCTCCGCTGATGTACAGGCGGTAATCGGGCACGTCGATTCCGTGTTCACATCTGGGAATAATACTGCCATCAACGAGATCAAGGAACTTTTCAGCATGCATCTTACACACCTCGATGACTTCGCGAGTGCCTGTGCGTATTGCTTCTCTGATGGTTTCGTGATTGCACTGGTGACACGCCTGACGACACAGTGCAACACCCACTCTTCGCATGGCAAGGCCTCCAACCCTCGTCTAACCTGTCGGACCCTCTATTCTTCCATTTTTGTGACGCGTTGGAAGTCAAGGATAATCAGACCGCACCGTCCGAGGGATGGGGTCTTCAGAACGCATTGAATTCATGGGCCGGATTCTGGAAAGAGGTGTGCTATCAACGCTGTGAGTTCATTTGTTCACCCTTGATGAAACATTGTTGAGCAGTGGAGGTCTCGCAGATTGCGATGATCAAGACGCTGAGTCAGTTCAAATTAGATGGTTCATAGTCAGGAACACATTAGCTGACGATCCCGCAGCAGAACGTGTTTTGGGAGATACAATGCAAGCGCAACTTATTACACGGACCTTACTGTCAACAACGCCGATCGTTCATGGTACTGGATCCTGTACGTGGTTGTACAGCCATGGATACTATACATCGACAAGGTCGTGCACTGACATGCCTCGACAGTTGCAACCAAATGGGCTTCTATCAAGACGGAGCGCCTGATGGCGAGCCGACTCTTGTTTCTTGTCTGATCCAGCCAACTTACTGGGAGGTTAGTCACGTAACAACTGTCTTGAAGGATCTAACCAAGAAGCATGCTAATGTTCCCGGAGGCGTTCAACTCCACCAACGCCGAAGGTGAACGAGACGAATGCGGCGTATCATGGATGGTTCATCAAGGCTGATCGCCTGTTCTTCTCGAACGGAGAGAGTGAGTAGAAGCCTGAATAAACATGTCCTATCGCTTATGCAAACACCATTCAGAGGACCCATGGCGCGTTGCGACTGTCTCCGCTGACGGGACAGCCTGTCAAAGCACTGCCATGCAGCCTATCGTCATGGGTGATGGCTACCATTGCTCAGATATGGATGCCGCGAATGGGGAAGTCGATTCGACAATCGCTGCTGTTCAGATCTCAGACTCAGGGCATAGCTGCGATGAAGAGCTGGCTGGAGACATGGGAGCCCCCAACCCGTCGATAAGTACTACGAGACGTACTGGTGATCACTTGGTGATCACCATTTTGGACTTGACATTTGCGATGGTGATGGACCGTTCATTCCCGTCACCGGGACATCTTCTTATTTAAGCTCTCCCTTTGACTATCACTATAGAGCATCAACATAAAAAGTGCTAGCAAACACCCGCCGCCGTGCACCGCACTGGATGCGGTTCACAGTTCACAACATGGAGTTCACACGAAGATTTTGAATTGCCAATGCTAGCAGAACCATTCACCACTACGTATAGCCTACAAGATATGCTCCTTGTCAACGACTCATCGAGTCTACGGCTGCCCATCATCGGACCATGCTCCCCCGATATAGCTTGGATTCTTGTGAACATAGGTCTTCGTTTAAAGGCTTTCGTCGAGTTCTGATGTTTATCGTCAGTGCAAAGAGCTGGATAGTCAAGCAGATACACACCGTTATAGGCCACGATTCCGCCATCGCGCTTTACCACGTCTGTGGCATAGACCGTCAGCCTATAGTATCGAGACCTAGTGCGCGACCATACCATCGGTGACGGTGTAAAGGTCGCTGCCACGCTTATCGAGGTCTACTAGTAGAACGGGTCAGCAAAAGCACGTGTGTTCTGCATGCTCCCGGAATTCTCACTTTTCGTAACCTGAGATGGAGAGTCTACATCATTGCCGGTGCGTTCCACGATGTCTAAGGAAGACTCGTTCAGCGAGACCCGGATCAGCAGAGGCGAGAGGCAACCATACCGTCCGTCACAACGTACACCTTACTGGCGCGTCCAGAGAGCTGACCGTCGATCTCGCCGAGTGGGACCGCACAAGCAGCGTGGAACAGAGCAGCAGCGCTGAGGAAGATGGCAGACGTGACCTTCATCTCGGCGAGCAGAGGTGAGTGGGGTCAGCAGCCCTGCGTGCGACGCAATATATAGCCCTCCATCCAGCGCCATTCTGCGTTGTTCGTCTAGATGATTCGCGGAGACAGTGTCCATCAAATGCGGATGAGTGCTCGGAAGTCATATCGGTCCCACAAGGCCTGTTGAGATGGTGGAACCGTGGTCCGCATAGGCACATCCATCAGAGACAACGGCATGCACGGCGACGTGGTTTTCGGAAGTTTTCTGCAGTCCCTAAGAGTGACCACTGAATCAGCTAGAAACTCGTCGCAATTAGTGGTGAACTAGCAGTGCACGGCTCTGCCTGTAGCAGTACCAAAGCATACCGCTTCAATTAGCGAGTTAGCGAGCCACGAGATTAAGGGAAAAACGCGATTGTGGTGTTGACAGATACATCTACCTAGCCGTCACCGGGCGCTGTCAGCGATCCACGAATCTGACCCATGGGCGACGTACATACGCAGTCATGTTCCAGGGGTGGCCGGAAGCACTCAGTGCGTTTGAAAAACAGTTCACGGGTCTGTCCAGCGGTAAATCATGACAGTCTCGGTCCCACACGATATCATACACGTCGTCATGGACATTGTCATACGCACCATCCAACACGACAGACGACGTACCAGTCTCACTGCGGTTCGAGAGTACGCAAGATAAAGCTGGCTCCGCCGCGACCACGACATGCCTTCGGAAAACCACAATCTATACGCCCGTCTTGCTATTGAAACACAAATATTCCGATGCGACATCGCATGCTTCTACTCAGAGTGAGGGCTAGTGCGAGAGGAGGCACTCAACTCGGAGAGCGACTGGTGACAAGCAGGCCGGCTCACGCACCTTTCTACGTACACGGTGTGACTCGCCACGTACGAGGCGCAGGCCGGCAGGAGCAATTCTGTGGGCTTCCACTCCGGCGAATTCTCTTGTGGGTAGCCGCCTATGAACTTCTCCAGGCGTCGGAATATGATTGCGAGCGACATCGCAACCTCGTTCGGATCCCCTACAGGCACACATCTGCCAAGGGTAAGGCATCTGAGAGCAGACATACGCATCGGCCCGGCGCCGGAGAGCGCCTCGATGATGCGCGCAGCGTCGGCCTGCGAGGTATCGATCCCGATATGGAGTGTGTGCAGCCGGGGGCAATGCTTGCGAAGTGAATGAGCCCGGCGAGAGTGCCGGCGGATGCGACTCGGATGGTCTCTGGTGGACGCTCCTTGTCCTTGCTAGGGAGCAGCTTCAAAGACTCCAAGTACGGCCAGGAGAGCGCCATGTCTCTCAGGTCGTCATCCGTGAGCCGAATCTCATTGAAGGTCTCCACCGAGAGGACCTGCAGTTCATGGAAGGCGTACAGATTTCGGAAATCACTTGCAGTGGCTTCCACTGGTCCAGGGTCTTGATCGAACAGGTCACACCAACAAATGCTGATGTGACAGAGAGACGTATGCGAGCAGTTGTCGCGTATGATTCGGAAGAGGTGTCCCAGGGAGCCGAATTCTCCTGCACGAATTGTGAGGCCCTCTAGCACAGGGAAGGAGAATGCTGCCAGCACTTTGGAGCAGTCCGTTACCTGGGAGCATCGGATGAAGAATAGCTGCAGCGCACGGAACGGCCGGAACTCTGTAGCGACAGGAAATGTCCACGGCGATGCGGGTTCGTCCAGTATTGAGATGTGTAGATCAGTAAGATGAGGCAAAGATTGAAGTTCCATGAAGGCGGCGGCAGGGAGAGGTACGGCGGAAATGAAGGACAGGATATGCAAAGCCTTCAAGCTATCGAAAATACCAGCTCGGATCTCAACAGGGCCGGGCGAGGACCATGATTCCTCCTGTTGAGTTGCGATATTCAGTATTCGAACACTCTGACAGTGTGCGGAGAGGTGATCTAGGAGAGCCGCAGCATTGACGTCAAAGACTTCCCACTCGATCACGAGGTCGAGCAAGGCGGGGCTGAGGAACAGGCGGCGATACGGTACGACGTCGGTATCAGTGATGCTGCTCAAGTATAAATAACGAAGGTTCGGGAATAAAGCCTTCGAAGGGTTGTATTGATCCAAAGTGACTAGCGCCTCGCTTGATAATTTCGGTCTGCCAACCTCGTAGTACAATCTTCGGAAGCCGATACAGAGCTCGCGGATGCGGAGGGCATAGACATCGAATCGGACCCAGTCTTCAGGGCGTAGGGGTCGTTGGAATATCTGAAGATATACACATGAACGTGGTGTTGGCTAAGTGACGTAGCGAGACATACTATGGTTGAACTACCATCGTCATCGTGAGTTGGCTGCATCTCCCACAGATCCGCGGGCATGCACTTCACGATATTTTCAAGGCCTGGTTGATGTTGCCATAGTTTGTCGAGGGCAGGAGAACAGAAGTCACGGCAAGTCCTAGCAAGGGCAGCGAGACTCTTGCTCGACCACGTCTCTTCTGCCACCTGAGCCAGTACCTCTGGGATAGCCAGGAGGCGGCGTACCGCGGGCACAGGAAATGCCTGCATGGATGTCAACTATGGAGCGGCAGAGGCCTGTTAGTGGCATGATATCGTGAAGGCTAGACACAGCTCACCGAGTGTTGGCAGGAAGACTGAGGGGCGTCGACTAGGCCCGCCGCTGATAGAGAAGAAGGTGGGGATGAGTGAAAGACAATGGTCAACGCAGCTCTCGGGGTGGCACAGGCCTTGTCCTTAACGAGCAAACAATAGCGAAGGCACCTCGGTACTGCTATGATCATCCAATCCATCAGTAGGGTCACGCCCCATCCATCGATGTCGAAGACGTTGGAAGAACCTGCCACCCGCGCGAGTCACAAGGGACCTCACCATTCCGTTACGAGTAAGTACTTACCGTGTCTTTATCCCTGCCGAGCTTGCTACAGTCACGAATCATCGCACCCTCCGGCTTCCCCTTCTGTGACGCGTTACACGATATGTCGTTGTCAATGAACTTCCTTGGACGTCGCAGTGTTCGAGTTGCACTGTTGACAGACTGGTACGCGCAATGTCCACGGTAACGATAGCGCGCCACACGAGTGGACTACAGCTAGCCAGTGGGATTACATTTTGCTTCACGCGACAGATGGGTAACGCACGTACCCGAACTCTGGAACCCGTTTCGTCAGCGCATGCGTTTTATCCGAGCCCGTTGGACATGGTGCGGGTCGGACGGATGCTTGCCTAGCTCCCGCAGCTTTTCCTCAAGCCAGCCACGTATGACTTGAGGGAATTCATGCAGCATTCAGAACATGCCATTAACTGCTCCGAGGGGCCTATGTCCATCGATACAACAGGTCGTGAGATGTCGAATGGGGCGGCGTCGGAGCAAGGGTAAGTGGTCGTTCAGCGCTACAGTCCAAGGTCTCCCGAGTCAGAGGCTAAGAAGGTCGACGAGTCTACAGCAGCGGTAGACTGCTTTGCTACCCCCAGATACATGCTAACTGCGCACGGCCTCGCAGAGACTGAGAGGAGGAGCGGCGGAGGCGAACGTACGGCAAACGTCCTTAGCGCAAGTACCGGGCCGTACGTGTGACCGTGACGGACTGGTACATGTCAAGGCCGAAGCATGCCCGATACTGGCGGTGCCACCTGGTATGCCAATATACTTACCCTCACTGGGAAGCTGAGACCTCAAACAGACGCCATAAGAGCGGATACGCGTACTCAGCCAGCGAGCCCGGACAGTTTTCCGGGGAGAAACACGACTATTCAGCGCGAGCAGAGTGGTTTGCCACTGGAGTAGGGTCCGCCAACGGGATACTGACAAGAAGCAGTGACAATTGGCCGCACTCGGAGGACTGAGGTAATTGGTACACCGTCTGAGTCGCGGATTCTCTGCGGTTTCCACTTGAAGACCGATCACCGGGTTGACAAACTTCGATATTCAAGTAATGTCAATGACCACATTCTTATAAAGATAGTACGGTTACAGTGCATGCAACCTCGGCAGGGAAGCGATAGACCATGTTTTTCCCAAGAAGTATCTAGCTTCGCGTGACGAAGCCATAGGAGCCACCGGCACGCTTTCCACACGTAACTTGAAGGTGGTAGAAATCGGGAACGTGCCCACCGGACAACTCATCAGGCCGTGACGTCTGCACAAAGCCGCGAGTCAGCACAGCAGACGTAGTCAGCGAGCGGACTATATCTGACCTTCGACGCCGTGGCCACCGTCAACACGAGGTTCTGATCGGTGAGCCAATCCGCGCGCCGTAATCTCTGCACAGAAAACGTCAGTCAGTAATGGACGTCATCGGTGGGTAGACGATGTCTGACCGTCGTTAGAGGTCCAGGAAGAACCAACGATACCGGGTGCTAGGAACAAGGCATCACATGTCAGACATAATGCACAGTAAAATGTTCAAGAATACACACCGCGCTTGTGAAGGTCTAATACACAAGACAGTGGTTCAGTACGAACAGACGACTCGAGCAGACATTATCTGACCTTCGCGGGGAGGGAAGTAAATCGTGTTAGTGGGGCGCACTGGCACAGCAGTGGCGACCTCGAATAGGACACAGGCCAGAACAACGAAAGGAGTAATGAGCTTCATGCTGTAGAGGAGATGCGAGGAGAAGAATGAAAGGAATGCGATGGTCGAGCAGCACCCTCAGCTCAGCTTTTATCCCATACATGCAAGCGCCCACGGTGTACCTTCTCCGACGAGTTTACCTATTCTTTCAACAACTCCACGTCGCCCGAGATCAGTGCTGTGTCTCCGAGTTGAGACATAAAGATCATGGATTCTAGCGTTGGCCGTTCGGTAAAGTATAACCTGTTGCGAAAACAATTCAGGACGAGTCTGTAATCTTACCAACGTGTGCATAAGTGAGGCTGCCCGCATTCTTCATCGTCGTACAAAAATGCCAGCTTGGATAGGAGGCCGTATCTGTGAAACACGCATTGTTCACGGATATGGTATATTGAAGCGTTGACTACACAACGTTCTTCTGATCTGCAGCCCATATGACCATCTCAGATCTGTCAATCGCGACTGTATCTATACATCAAGCGGTCGACACATAGCTATGCGCACCTTGATTGGTCTAGCCATGGGCGGGCCCACGAAGGAGTTCCTCGCAAGGCGCTATTGCACGTCGCGGGGATGCAAGCGCATGGTGCAGTGGAAACGAAGCTTCCGCACAGCGCATCGGGTGGTGGCGCATGATGGTCTCTGAGCACAGGTCTACACGCGATGTCTAAACAACTCGTGAAATGTACTCTATGAGAGCGGGCGTGTAACTTACGATACAACGTCTTATCCGTTCACCCATCTGGTGAACCGCACTCGGTTCTCAGGCTGACGGTACTTGTCGCCTGCGAGGCTACGTAGTAGTCAAAAGAAGAGTCCGCTTCTCGCGGGTAGGCAGGACGCATCGAATTCGTGATTGCTCTGCTGGAGCTTAGTTGATTTTTACAGTGACATTTCTCGACTCGGAGAAGCCTGAACGTCGCGGATCAGATGACAATCACAGCCCACGGATTTCGCTGGCAGACTCGGACGCGACGCATCACTGTTGATCGGCCGAGGCAGCTTGCCAGAGAACATGGATTCTTGGCCTCCAGATCGATGGATGCTTACTGGGCGGCATCGCAGACTGCCTGCATGTGCACCCTATCAAGCAATGTATGCGTCAAAGAACGCGAGGGCAGCCTGCCATTACAAAGCGAAAACCCAATGGACAATTGTTGGATAGGCAATACTCATCAACGAAACCAGAAGGCACTCACCTTGCTGTATGGTTACAAATAGATATTTTCGACGCGGGGTTGTCGTCGGTCGAGCCATCAACCATGGCAGGCACTAGTACCGAGCCGACTCTGAGCGATTGATATGATCACGCGCCCTCTGCGGCAACATGACAGGGCGCATCAGGATTTAATATTCGGTACGCATCTCAGCCTTGCGCCGGTCTCAGGATGGCCTGTACATGTAGTTTAGCAATCATTACGAAGAGTCGCATGAACGGTCTCACTATGGTTTCACTGGGCAGCATCTTCCGGCAGCATGGTCCCCAGAAACTGCATGTGCGGGGATACCCGTGACAGACGAGATGAGGTGGCTTTTGGGTGTAGGATAGACGGTTGAGGCCAGGAGCACATCAGAGAAGCGGCGACCAGTCCGAGACTCGAGGGGCGGACTGTGCGGGTCGAGGAGTCGAGGACACGCGTGACAGCAGGAAGCTTGATACGATCACGCGACTTTAGCCATGCGTGACAGGACGCGTTGATCCTTACCAAATCCTCATCCATCCTCAGGTTGTTGCGTGTCGATCTCTCTCAACCTACACGGATCATTACATTTATGAATCAAAGACGTACTCCTCAGAAGTTGAATGCTACATGTCAAGTAATACCAATGGACCTTCAGAGCTTCCGTCTCAGGTCTACAGCTTCTAGTCAATCGGCGCATGCGGTGCATCACGACATCTGGACCAAACCAGCAGTGCAGATGTTCGTGCGCAGACTCCCAGCGCGACTCGTCCTTTCATAGCTGCTACTTACAAGTACGGTCCGCCAACGGAGACTGAAGCAGGACAGCTCAGCCTGATGCGGGACCTGAGGGCTGGGGTCATTGGCGTACCATCAACTTCGCAGTCCATGTTATGTGGATATCCACGTTCCGATTGATCTGATATGGATACAGTGCACGCTGCCACAGCAAGGAAACAATGGACCATGTTCTACAAAAGCTCTAGCTTTCTCTGACACCGATGCCGTAAGAACCACCGACACGCTATTCAAGGCAAGGGCGTAAACTTTAGGATTATGCCCAATGGTCAACTCGTCAGCACTTGGACCGCGAGCCGTCACGTCTACACAAAGCCGTGAGTCAGAGCAGCAGACGTAGTCAGGACTGACCTTCGACGCCCGGTCACCGGAAACGGCATAAGATCTGCACAGGGAACGTCAGCCAGTAACGAACGTATAGGTGGGTAGACCATGTCTAACCGTCGCCGACCGTGACCCAGTCGGGTGCTAGGCAACACGAAGAACAGGTCATCAAACGTCAGACATGATGCATGGTAAATGTCAAGAGTATATACCGCGCTTGGTTAGGTCTACTACACAAGACAGTAATCAGTACAACAAACTAATCGAGCAGACGAAGTTATCTACCGTCGGAGGGATCAGCGTAAAGCGCGTCCGAAGGGGTGCTGGCGCAGCAACGGCGACCTCGAACAGGCGCAGGCCAAGAAAACGAATGCGGAGGTGAGCTTCATGCTGACGAACGATGCGACGCAAAACCCTAGAGAAGTGCGATGGTCGAGTGGCATTCTCAGCTCTGCTTTTATCCCACACACATAACCGCCCACGGCGTACCTTCTCCGACGCGTACACTTGTTACCTCAGCGACTTCACGTCGCCCGAGATCAGTGCTGTCTCCGCTGTGAGACCTAAACATCATAAATACTGGCTTTCCTTGTTCAGTACCGAAGATCCTATTGCAGGAACGATTCAGGACGAATCTGCAATCTTGTCGATGTGTGCCTATATGTCCATCTCAAGTCTGTCAATTGCGGCTGTATCTATGCATCAAGCAGGCAACACATACCTATGTGCACCTTGATTAAGATTGGTCTAGTCGCGGGCGCAAGTTCACGAGCCCACGGAGGAGTTCCTCGCAAGGCATTGTGTAACATCGCGGGGTAAAAGCGACGTTCAGCGCATGGTGGAAATGAAAATTCCGCACAACGCGGCACATGATGGTCTCCGGGGACAGGTGAAGGATGTCTACACACGATGCCCCCAAAACTCGTAGGACGTACTCCTTGAGAGCAGGCCTAGGCGCGTATACTACGTGTCATGTCTGTTCACTCCATCTACTGAAGCACAAGGGGGTCAGCACTCGGATCTCAGGCTGAGACATTTGGGACGCACCTCATCCTTGCGCCGGTCTCAGGACGGTCTATACGCGTACTACTGTAAGTACTAAGTAGTGATCGTTACGCCTCAGAATCGCATGAGCGGTCTCACTATGGTCTCACTGGCCCGGAGGCAGCGCCATCCCGTGGCACGATCCTTGGGAACATGCGGGAGGACCCGCTGGCTGGCGTGATGGGATATTAGTCTGTAGGTGTCGGATGGTGGAGGCCACACTGGAGCACATCAGAGAAGCGGTCCTTGAAGTCTCCACGGACTCGGGCCACGCGTGACAGGGCTTAACACGATCACGCGACTTTAGCCATGCGTGACAAGACGCGCGTTCATTCGAGTAAATAAGTTAGCTGGTTTCGTAACAAATCCTGAGATCCTCACCGGCGCAGGTTATTGCGTGCCGATGTCTCTCACAGAAAAACGATGCGGATTGCAGTTATGGAATGAAAGATGTAATCCACCGGGATTGAAGCGTGCTTGCCACACACGTAAGACCTTGAGAACTTCAGTTTGTGCAAGTACAGCTTCCGGTACCTCGACACCCTGACTGGCATGCCAGTGCATCTCGACGTACATAACAATACCAGTGCACACTGTAGACATTCATATGCAGAGCCTCAACGCGATTCGTTCTTTCATAGTAGCTGTTGCAGCCGATCACTGGCAGGAAGACTCGTTAGACTTAGTACATATCATACATGCGGTCTTGGCATGTGCTGCAGATCTCGCCCAACTTGACTGGACACGCCGTCTTGCGATGATCGGGTTTCAAGGGATTGAATCTGCGGGTTGCAAGACAGCTGAAGTGATTCACCGAGTATCTAACGCTGACAGGAAGATGGAGATAGCCCCAAGAGGCGGTCACTAGAATTACAGGGATCGGATGCCTACGTGGTCACGTCAACTGTGGTTAACAGTACTAGGTCTTACTCATCATCTGCACGCAGTGAGTACGGTTGCATAAAGGGCATCCATATGACAACATTCAACCTTCACGAAAGGCGACTTGAATGGCGACACCGCGCGTCTAGATCACATCGTTTGCAGCATCTTTCGCGTTGGTTGCTAGTGGAAACGAGTCAGCAAATAGAATAAACACCCTCGATGAGCCTACGCTGCCTAACCTTCTTCATCGCTATCCAACCAGTAGATGGGGCCGCCGCGTTTCTCGACGGTGCCAATGCCAGTCAGTCAGTCCGTCGTTGCGAGGACAGAGGCTAGTTGAGTGGATTTCAAGAGGATAATACCGATGAATTCGACGCCTATACGAAAAGCATCAGTAGGTACAAGGTAGTCGGTGAGATGAATCATACCGTCTGTGTCGGTGGCAATGCAAGAGCACGTCAATACTGATGTCCCACCGACCCAGTACCAAATCACGCACCGTGCCGCACGTTCACAATCTCATTCTCAGCCTGAATCGCTGGCATAGCGGAGGCAACCTCGAGCAGGAGGCAGGCAAGAAGAGTGACTGTAGAGGTGAGCTTCATAGTGCTGAGAAGTTAAGACGCGACTTTGCAGAAGGTTGCGATGTTCAGGGAGATTTTTCAGGCCTGCTTTTATCCCATACACACAGCCGCCGACGACGTGTGTCGTCCGACGCGCATAGCTTATTCAGTGAACACGAGGCCGGAGACTAGTGCAATGATTCAAAAATGACGCACGAGATATTCGTCGGTCCTTCTGTGCATTTGGTCTATTCGGTTCAATGGCATGTCGCTGCGTCCAGTCAGGCTCTCGGAGGGTACGCGCTTTCCCAGTAGCCTACTACGGAACAGATGTGTGCACATGGTCCGCCACTCGTGGAGAACGCGGCCGAGTAACCTGACACAATGATAATAGAGGCTCCACTGAGGTGTCCAATCCACGCCGCGGCATCGTTCCATACCAGATCTGTCGAGGAAAATTCCATTAGTGCATGGTGTTTGAAACGGAGAGTACAAAACTGGGCACGCAAGGACAGGTGGTCTGCGATTGCCGCGCTTACATTCTACAAGATTTGATAGAAATCAATCTCAGACTGGTCGCATGTCATGCGAGGTGGCCCGTGAGCGGAGCTCCAAGTCCGTAAAACCACTGCCAATAGTGTCGGCGAGTTGCCACCTCAGGCTCAAGTCGCTCGTAATATGGACCTAATATTTACCGAGCTCTCATGGACCTTCAGGCTGGCCTCTTCGCAGTTGAGGTTTGACTTCATGCCTACACTGAATCCTTACGAAGGCACAGGGTATTGTCAGTAATAAAGCCTCCAGGCAGACATGGATAAAGAAGAACCTTAATGGACTCGTGGAAGCGATCCACGACCTCGACTTACGATCGATCGCACCCCATTCCTGTTTGGAAATGCTTCACGCTTCAAGACGTGTTACGTGGTCTTTTGCTCCGAGTCGATTACCACTGGAGCTAGGAGACCAGCTGGCTGAAGCATCATCTAGAGGTTGGTGCCAGGATGCCTGCCTCCATTTTCGAGGATGAACGCACTGCACAGTGAACATCCCATTGCCGTCGATTCGTGATCGCACCAAGTACTGACTCGTCTAATGAAGGCATATGAATTGTTGTGAAGCTTTAGGATTTCGGTCCAACCATCGGACATTCCATCGATCGCAGCATGTATTGAGAGCTGGACAGCACCACGTTCCAATGATCCAATGACGAACGACGCCATTCCTATGTCTCACGCGTTCAGCCATGCTTCAAATGCGCATCAAATCGGGACGTACATTCGTCAGATTCACCGTCTGTCAAACAGAATAAGCACTCTTCATGTAGAATCGGGGAGTGGACAATCTCTGACCTTCGGATTCAACCCAAGAGGAGCTATAGGTGTCACCCTGGCTGCGCCTTCGAGCTGAGAATCTACAGCCGGATCATTCGCGCCGGGTGCTAAACATAATAGTCAGGTCGCATATTTCGCCAGGGTATTATGCGCAATAGCTGAAGAGAATACGCACCGCGTTTATCGAGATCTACCGATATGCGATGGATCTCAGCAAGAGAAATATTCATTAGCAGCGGACCCCTCACCATCAGATTCAAGGTAGGGGGAAGCATAGGCGGCGCCTAAAAACCCGCGTTTCTCGAGATCTACCATCGTGATGGGCCATCAGCAGGAAGAAAATATCATTTGTAGCTGACACCCTCACCGTCGATTCAAGGTAGGGTAAAGCATAGGCGGTGCCCAAAAAACCGCGTTTCTCGGGGCGGACTCTGCGCCCACACCATCCCCGCCAAATGCTAAGCATCGATAATTAAAACATTAGTTATACAATGTTGCACAATAGCTCATAAGGCTGATGAGAGAACACACCCCGTATTTCATGTCTACAGAAATTGAGCAGTCAGGCCGTCCGTTGATAATTTGACTGTAATGCCCCCAGACGATGAGATGTGTGCGCACCACTACTGGTCTCAAAGCGTTTCTCGGCCTGAGCCTGAAGGGCCGGAGCTGCGGTGGCGACTTCGAGGAGGATACAGGCGACGAGCACGAATGCAGAGGCGAGCTTCATGTTGGGGAAAGGTCGCAATGTTGAGGGGTGCGATGTCTGAGTAGCACTCTGAAGTCAGCTTTTATCCTATGCAAACAACCGCCAGAGGTGTATCTTGTCCGGCAGGCCGACCGTTACTTGAACGGCACGAGCATCTAGCCCAATAGTTTGTTCGTGGTGAGGTCGTAAGTGACCGACGAGCCCGTTCGTTCTTGTTGCGGTCACTTCGGGCTACCTACTGAACGCGCGCCGGAAACTGATAGTATCGGTGGTGAGACGATGTCTATACAATATTGAAGCAGGATGAACCGGAGCTCTGGCTTACATGGGCTTGTTTGGGGCACGGGCGCAGCTACATATGTTGCCACATGATTTCAGGGACCTTCATAGCCGCCGAAGTCAGTCGTATCGTTCTGTACATGGCCCGGCTGTGTCATGGTAATTCATAGTGTCGAGCCACTTCAATGCCGACTTCATGGTCATGCGCTAACCTAATCGCCCATGTTAGTAAGTACATGTGGAGTCTGTTGGCGGCTGTCAGTTTATTAGTGGCATGCCAATTTCAACGTCGTCGTACTCACCGGAGATTGTCGGCGGGCCAAGAACTCGGAGTCTCCTAGACATGACCATCCAAACAGCCATAATGACGTTGCATGCTAAAATTTGCCTGACAAGCGTACCGCTCCTGTCGTCGCAGGCCACACATGATGATGCATGGTGTTCGTACGACGCACTATGGTGAGCACGAAGCCCTGCAATACTCAGAATAATTCGCAGTGACAAGATGCGAACACACAAGCGGGCGAACAAGCCGACTACGGGCCACCCCATCGGAGAGCAAGACACTGCATATCCTAGTAGAGCCAATTATAAGCACCAGACCGGTCCTTTATGACACCAAAGTGGCATCGCTGAGAACCTTGAGCGGTGGGTCGTCAGTTCGTCGACGCAATATCGCCACTGGTAGATAACGGGGACGCGTACCTCTCGGAGTTCTAGCACTCGGTCTCTTGATCTGGATATCCAGACTTTGTTGTGGGTCAGAACCGATACTACGTCGAAGCTTCATCTTACTCAGCTGAGTTGTGGCCTTGGAGCACGCTGATTCGGAAGTGAACCCGGCTGGTCTCCCGCGGGCAGAGCAAACAACTCCTTCGGCCTCCGCGCGCTCCGGATATTCCTGTCTGACGATCTAGCCCACGCGTGTCTAGGCCAAATTCAGGCAGTACGTTCCGCTCATGTCGCGTTTCGGAGGGCCTGATGGCAATTCGGCGAGTACTTGGATGTAGCCGGCTCGGTTGCAAGTTGCCACTGGCGGCCACCTAGTACTGATACTATTGCGCCAGGCCGGTGGTTGTCTGAGCGATCAAAGCCGCCGATCGCGAGCAACCGCAGCCACGACCGTCCTCAAAGAGTCAGAGGTGACTGTGGTCTGCACACCGGGGACTGAGCGCAGCCGCATGCCTTGCAGGAATACAATCAATCAATTACCCAGAGATGTCGACTAGAAGACCGTCCTCTCCCCCACTCAAAGAGGTTTTCTTTAGGGTCTGCCTAGGGGAGACTAGATGTCGACGAATGTCATACCCACGGTACTGTAGTCTCCCCAGGCAGACGTAGACCATTTCCTCAACCTTCGTGCCTCAGGATATCGTTGTTTCGGTACTCGCCAATGTCCAGTTCGTTGAGAATCACCTGGGCAGACCTGGGCACAATATGATAGAATATGACGGTGAGGTTGAACGATGGACAGCACTGGCACGCGTCGAGACCGTGACGGTGAGCAGCGACGGAGAGCCGGGCCTCCGCTACGGGCGTCGGCGTTCTCGCGGGGACTGTCGGCGTGCCCGATTCGACGTGAGATGTGACCAGTGTCTACCGCACTCGCCGCAGGTTAAATAAAACCTTCATGTCCTCGTCTGCTCGGTCGTTGGCTCACCGCATAACTTCAATCACTGCGCACCTGCAACCCGGGATGGCGCGTCCGAAAGTTGTGGTTACGAGAAGCTTGGGCGCCGAGGCCATGCGCCTCCTCGATCGTCCGGATCTCGATGTAAGTCGCTCATGCCTGATTTGTCAATTCACGAAGATCAACTTGTCGCACTCATTCTACACAGGTTGTCGCATGGCACTCAGAAACACAGCCGTGCGATAGAAAGTGGTTGTTCGATAACATTCCCGGAGCAACAGGCATACTGCTCCTGTTCTCAGAGAAGGTCAGACATCAGACGATCAGGATAGCTGACAAGCGTCAACCGTGTTAAACAGGTTGACAATGAGTTCCTTGACGCCGGTATGCTTAATGGTTCGTGACTACCCTCAGCAAACTGATCCTGCTTGCAGCCGGGCCAAGCCTAAAGGTCATCTCCACAATGTCCGTTGGATATGGTCAGTATCATCATGGGACAATGACGGCCATACTGACTGGCTGCCTGCGACACAGAACATGTGGCCGTGGAGTCGCTCTCTCAGCGCGGAATCAAGCTTGGTTTACACCGGATGTCCTCACAGAAGCAGGTAATGGTTTAGTTACCATTCACGAACGTACCCTCACTATGCAATAGTCGCCGATATCACAGTTATGCTTGCCTTGATGGCAGGCCGTAACATCAAGGAGACCTCAGAGATTGTTCAGAAGGGACAGGTCTGTCTATGCTTTTCATTCACCCTATCCCGCTCACCGAGCGTCGTGCAGTGGTCCGCTTACCCATGGGCCCCCTACTTATGGGCTGGCTCCCAACTAAGCGCGAGCTGGGTCCACCCCGCGCGCACAGCAGGTTTCCTCGGCTTCGGTCGCATCGCGCAATCCACCCTCGCGCGTCTCCTCCCCTTCGGCTACACCCGTGCGCTCTACACCGGGAACCCCACCTCGCAGCCCAACCCTGCGCGCGACGCAGAGCTGCTCGCGAAGTACGCCCCGCATGGCCTCGCGGAATTCCGGCGGGTCGATCTGGCTGAACTCGCACGAGAGAGCGACGTTGTATTCGTGCTCGCGCCTGGCGGGCCGAGTACGTATCACGTCGTGAACGAAGCGTTTTTGAAAGGCATGAAGAAGACGGCGGTGCTGGTGAACACCAGCCGCGGAGTGCTCGTTGACTCTGAAGCTTTGGCAAAGGCGTGTAGGGAAGGATGGATCTGGGGTGCAGGCGTAGATGTTGTTGAGGGTGAGCCCAACGTCCCCGCGGATCATCCGCTCCTAAGGGAGCCGAGGTTAGTATCGTGTCTGCATCCACCTGTTCGCACCTGACCCCCCTTCACTATTAGGTGCGTTGTCTTGCCTCACATAGGAAGCGCTACGAACGAGACGAGGTTGGGGATGGCCACGATGGCGATCAACAATGTCATTGGCGGCGCGCTTGGAGGAAATATGCCCGCTGAGCTCAACATGTCTCGGTAGACTTAACGAATGTTTGATACGTCGTAACAGCGGCAATTTCCGTGCTCGGGCTGCAAGACATCAGTATGCTGTATGACATCATCGGTACGGAACAAGCCGTGCTGGAAACACACACCTCCAGATCAGGCGCGACCTTCAAGCTCCCAATTATGTTCTGAGTCACTGACATACCATAGCGCATACATTCTTGAGTTACACGTATATACAAAGCACATAAGAGTCCTGTTTCGAAGGCACGACGCTCCTCTCCGAGATTACTTAGCTATCGTACAAGTCGTGCCTCTCCGCGATGGCCCATTCACCAGCGCTCAGCCGGGGTGTGGCCGGGCTTGCCACTGAGAACACCATGGTGGTAAGTCACGTCGCCCAGCCTCGGGACCTCGTATGGCGAGTCCTGGTAGACGTGGCGCGAGAACGGAGCCACCTTGAGCGACGGCAGATCGCGCTCGATGTCGCAGGAGTGCCATCCGGCTACACAGAAACATCATCAGAACATTCTGGCGACGAGCAAGCACGACTCTACCTTCCTGCCCTGGACCTTGAGGCTGAGCTCCTTCGTCAAGTAGGGCTTCACGACGTCCGGCGAGAGCGTGTGCAGCTTCTGCAGTAGAACCTCGTTCAGGTGCACGAAGCCCTCCAGCTCGATGTCCAGGTTGTTCCGGCAGTTCTCGCACCGGTGCGCGGAGGCACTCGTGAACGCGGACACGGAGCCGACGTACGTCTCGCCCAGGAAGACCTGGACGGAGTAGCTCTTCCCGAGCTCGAACTTCTTGAAGCGGATGTGCACGGTCCACTCGTGCGTCGTGCTGTTGTACTCGACGGACGTGGAGCCGCCGGAGCTCGTCCCAGTCGGGGGCTTCTCGGGACCGCCAGGCTGGACGGGGCCGGGGCCACCAGCAGGGATCTCGGGGCCACCAGGCTGGACGGTAAGCGGTGTCGGCCTGACAGGTCCGTAGAGCTTCCCGACGCGCTCGAAGTGGCCGTGCGGATCTCCGCGGGGCTTTTGCCCTTCAGACCGTCAAAATCGGGGTAGGAATAGTGCAGAGCGCCGGCCCAGTCGCGAACTTGGGTCGAATTCCAGAACGACGACTCAGTGAGCCAGAACGGAGTCAGATCTGTAGAGATGGCGCATGAGCATTGGTCTGCAGAAGAGACCGTAGTATGACTGACCGGACTGAACATTGACAGGGCCGTTATCCTTGATGGTGTAGGTTCCGCCGGGCTGGTCTCCCGGGGTGACCCAGACATCGTAGTTGATGGCCTGCCAGAGCGACAGCAGCCTATCGACGTTGGCGTGGTGCAAGAAGAATGCAGCATCGAAGCCTATGGTTGTTATTCAGCGGCCGGCGGTTCCTCACTAAACATGAATGCGTACCAGCGACAGGGACATCGGACATGTGCCCCTCGTATTGCTCGTTTCCACCAATCAACAGATGCATGTTGTCGTGAATGGTCTCGAGACTGTTGGCGATAGGCGGGTTCTGCTTCGTTGTGTGGTTGCTGAAGTAGTTCCACGTAACGAGCCGCGTGAGCATCTGGTATGTCTGCGTGCGGACCTGGCTATTGTTCTGGCCATACGTGCTGCAAGCAAAGGGTTATCACTGGGACTACAAAAAAAGAAGGGTCCTTTCATACCTCTCGAAGAGGTCCATCTGGCTCTTCGCATCCGGCTGGTCGCTAGTGGGGTACCTGAGAGTGGTCTGCCAACCGTTGTACGGAGCATCGAAGGTCGTGTACGGGAACTTCGAAAGGAAGGTGAAAGAGTGCACGGGGTTCTTGACGGTCTTCTCTCCGTGAGGAGTGATGATGGTGATAGTCGTGGTCCGCATCTCCACGGCACAGCGGGCTCTCCCGCAGGGACGGGGCGCGCCCAGTCCCAGAAGGGCACACGGAAGTTCTGCGCAGCCTTGACCCATCCGAGCTTGTCTGTCGTGTACTCGTGGGCAATCTTCAGGGCGGCAGCGTGGAGGCTTTGCTGTTCGAGAGCGAAGGCATTAGCATATGCAGTTACGATCAAACCGACCTGCTCTTACCTCAAACAGTGCGACGTACGGCCGGTGCCAGGTCGGGAACAGTACCGACCATGGGTGCAGTACCCACCAAAGGTATCACCACCGGGCGGGTCGGGGAGCCCGAGTCGCCCCACCGCACGTAAGGCATACCGTGATACCGCCAATGGCAGGCCACGAGAAGTCCCTGTCGAAGGGCTCCTTGAAGATGACCTCTGCAGAAACGATGTTCATGAATATCAGTCCGACGGCTTCGAAGAAGGGATGACTGACCGAGAGCTTGGACATAGAGCGAAAACTGCTGCTTGTCCTTGACGAAGTCGCGGAACTCGACGCGGTTGGGTGCCAACGCTCCTGCGATAGGCTCGCCGCCAGTGGCTCCGGTGATGATGGGACGGAAGTCGCTCGCGCTCATGTTCGATGTGTAAGGGATGTCTGGGTTGTAATCGTAGGATGTCGGATGCTGAAAGGAGTGGACAGAGCTCACCTTTTATACGAGGCATATTCGCGGCCTCACCAGCGCATCGCCAACCTGTGAAGTCATGACGTTCTAGTGGGATGTCAGAAGACCCCAGCGCTGTGAGCGGTTCCACCGTGCGTCGGATCACGAACCACGTTTAGTTTTAGTGCACAGTGACAGCGCGATGAGCGGCCATCCTATTCCAATAACTGGGATGAACCTATTTGGACCAAGGACACAGAAGAAACGTAATTGTACGAGGACGTATTTTCTCTTTGCAGTGCTATATGTCACAGAGGTCGATTATCGACCTCAGTGATGCAGGATCGACCAGATTCAATGCACTTTGGTGTGTTTCTCGTCCCCGGAATACTCGTATGGGCTGTGTGCGTTGACAGCCGTGTTTGACAGTGGCGGCCGAGTGACAGCGCTCCATTTGGGCGCACAGTCCAGACGCAGGCGGCCAGCGGATGGGAGTCAAAAGCCGACGTATATATGAAATATCCCTCAAAGAAGGGACGCTGACGGCAAAGGCACCGATGCTCTCCACTTCAACCAATGCACACCGATGAGAGAACCGGAGAACTCACCTCTAACATCTGAGTCTACCACAGGTGGTTGATCACAACGTAATTGGCCTTGGCACAAGCTTGACGCTGTGGTCGCATATAACACCACGCAGCGCCTGGGTACGACTGTATAAGATTCTTGAGTATTTACAATAGGACTGATCAACGCGCTCGTGACAATGCGACGTCCGAGTCGGCTGCTGTGCTGCACCACTGTGACCCACGTCCACCACGTTCGCTGCGTCCAGACGTTTCAAGAAGTTGACAACCGCCTTCTTGGGCCCGCGCCGGCCAAGGCATTCCGTAGCATACTCCAGAGGAAGCGTCGGCTGCTGTGGTGCTGCACCTTTGAAGCCCAACCGCACTTCACACAAGCGCCGTCGGTCCTGCGATGTATCGCGTAGTCGGAGCGCTCGACTGTGCACGCCAGAATAGGCTAGCAAGGCCGCCGACGTACTGTCGAACCTTGTTTAAGGTGGATATGTGATGACTGAATGATGCATAGCAATGATCCCTGCGCCTGCTGCGCGGTCACCGTAGCAGATAGGCCTAGGACGCTTGCTATTCCGCCAGCTACATTCCTGATCCATGCAAGAGCTCCGAGAAATGATATTCGACCTGTCAATGCAAAACAGTGCCCAGAGACCAACCGCTCACATTGCACTCAACAGTACCGCATGACCGCGCGATTTGTGCGCAGGGAGCTAATCCACGGCGGCGTAAGGAATCCCTCGGTGACTGCGTCCGGTGAATCGTCTTGCTTGATACATCAGTCGTGATCTTCCTGTCACCGATAGCTAACGCACTGACCTACACGGATGCGATGTCATGACCACCACACCAGGTTCACTGGCAGCTCATCGCTATATGTAGGGCATGCACTATACAGCGTTGTGCAATCTTTGTATCACTGACCACTACAGAGCGAGTATGGGGAGTTAGCCATTGCAGCGAAAACCTGGTCGTGCTAACTTCTTACCATCCCCGGCCCGGATGCGGGCGTGGCGCTCGCATAGAGGAATATCCGAATATCAGAGTTCGTCGTGGCATCCTGCTGGCAGAACTGAGCGTGGCATGATTCAGCATGGGTCTCAGTGCCGGTGGAGATGGTGGCATGCGACGAAGCTGAGGGTTGTGAATAAGGTTGCGAACTTGCAGACAGTTAGGCGCCACCCATTCAAATTGGCACTTCAGTCGCGACCACGTGACATAACCGCGTCAATTCGTAGTCGGACGTGACGCGTGACGGACGGCGCGGCCGCCTTCGTCATGTAACTTATCTCTCCCAAACTCTCACCTTAACCACCACCATCGCCCACTGGACAGTCATTCTTCTTCAGTTATCCGCCACACCCGGATCTTCGCTCTCCCTCACAAAACCATTGGCAGTCACGCCCCACGGGATCTGATGTACACAGTCCTAAGCGCCGTCCTCAGACTTTGACAAATATGTGAATCCTTGTTAAGTTACGTCTGGCTTGGCGCATACACTGCATATGCGCTTTCTTGTTAGGTATACGTGTTGGCTTGTTAATCATATGCGCCCATCTAATGCATGTTCCGTCCCCCGGGCCAGACAAAAGAAAAGGGCACACTGAGATTGCCGGCTCAGACGGAGTACTCACATCCTCACATGGTGGCGGGTACGTCGATCAACGAGAACAGCTTCCAGTACTAATGTACCTCGCATCGTCATTTCCTCGTCGCATGCACTGCTCTGCTCCATGTCTGATGTTCGGACTCGAGCACTATCCCAGAGCGCAGAGAGCGTCAACTTGCATCAAAGAGCCACTTCCCAGTTCATCGCTCGACATCTCGACACGGCCCTGTTCTGGCCGCGTCAAATCCACCCGGTGCTTCTGTAATCGAATGTGCGCAAGGCCCCTTGCCCAGCGTAGGTGACCTGACGAGTTTGATGCAGAACCACAATTCGCTTCGGACCTATTATCCAAGAATGCATACCTCACAAGAACCCTACGTGCCATTTTTGCGCCGTACCCTCTGTGTCAGATGCTTGTGTGCGGCATCGAGATAGAGCAAGCATACAACTGGCCGTCGTTTCAAATGAATTGGAGAGGTCCTCAATCGGGACAAGGGTCCCTGAGTGCGTTCATATAAGTTCAAGACATACCAAAAACTCTCTTAAAATTTAACCGTGTGTTCATCGCGCCATGACAGTGCCAGCACCACATCCGGTTCCTGGGTTGATACCCAGAAAGTCCACCACTGCTCAGATCCTCAGCATCCCGTGTGTCAATGATTGTCAATTATGCTCACGTCCCATTTGTTATGTCAAACTTTGTGCTTCCAACGCGGGACGTAGCCGCGCACAACAGATACTTCTCGGATGTAGGGATGTTCTTCAATTCTATTGTGGACCGATCCGAGGACCAAAGTCAACCATGGTAGGACTTGCGTTCATCTCACGCTGTATGGTGAGTACGATATACGTATACTAGTGAGCGCAACGTATGTGTCAAATAAGCACCTTTGACGGTAGACGCAATCTTGTCCATCATGCTGTACTCCAAAGGCACTACTGTATGCTTTTGACGACGGGTCTACGATGTATGGAGGAGTGCGCGCCGATCGGTGTCTTGACGGTGACACTCGGCGACCGCGCTCACTAAATAAAACACCCATTGACAATACATCCAGTATCATCAGCCTACAGATGGAGTACGTGCCTGCAATGATACTTGCGTGCTGCATAACATAAGTACATTCATTCGCGGAAACCCTGGACATGAACAGGCTGGCGCGATGTACCCCGTTGATTACCTTGGCCTTTTCGGTCCTCTGTGCCTGGTCCGTTGGATGAGAAGGTCCTGCCCTGAGCTTAATCTTGACGCTAAAACTGAGCTCAGAACTCGGAACGGTGGAAAACCAGTTACCGATGTGCCCGATGAGTACGAGGATCTTGCAACCTCTCTGAATTGCGCTGCTGATTCAATTGAGCGTCCCAGTTATACGTGAATACATACATAGAATGGCGGAGCTTACGACACGCGCCAGTCCACGTAACCGTCGCCCGTTGTGCGGAGAGGATCTTCAAATTCGAGGCCTGGACGGCGAACGACATGCATTCCCGCGAAGTAAGGCGACAACGTGAGAAGTGCGGCCGGTGTAGCACCACTGTAGGGCATCTCACCCCGCGAGAGACGTTAGCATAGCTTTGCACCCAATGACGGCCTGAGAAGCCAGGAACATGCATGTGCGCATCGGAGGAGATGCGGACAACAGCAGGCCACAGTACGCGTGCTAGGAACGAGGAAGTCGAGAAGAGCTTGTGAAGTGCTGGGCTAGGCATCTCTCCGAGGTGATTGACGGAGAGTTCTTAAGTCCTCACAGGCGCTTCCACCGCCGGGACGCTGGTATGAAGTCGGACGGACCGTCCAAAATTCATGCGCGGACCCACGAGGTCGGGGTCTCCGCTGGAGCTTCCGCCGGTCGGTTGTGCAAGGTGTCTCCGAGGATGAGTTGACAAGCAAAGAAGGGGATCCTCACCTCCACGGCATCTGCGAACTTGCGATAGGAAGGCAGCAACGCCGCAGCCTACTGAGAAACTCGCCTCTGGGTGAGTACGTTGACTTACAAAGCTAGCGTGATGAACACTTAGTGGCATAGATAAGTAGTAGGAGATAGAGTGCACTGACTGATTGCCACCGTCTGGCGGCTGGCAGATTGGTCGGAGACTGAGCGAACATAGCCATGCATCCTTGCAACGGGCCTCTCGGCGACTGTATCGCGTGCCTATAGATATCTGCAACACGCCTACCAGACATTTCAGAGTAATGATCCGATGTGTGTAACTTACAGTATGAGAACTTCAGAGAAGGATAGGAGACACGCTCCATCACCGGCTGTCCTGCGTTGTCCGGATCCCGATGTGGTAGGCACAGAATGGATACAATAGGCGTCGTCATATGCTGGCAAGAAGACCTCAAGCAATATACGGCCGCAGTGCGTCAACAATAACAACAGATACCAGCACGCAGGTGCTCCGCGCAAGATGATTCTTCAAGATGGGGGAACAAGGCAGGATGGACACGAGAATACCCAAATCAGGCAGTAGAGCGGGGATTGATGACATAATATGATGGCGGCTCTGATGGGCGCTTAGGTGTCGTCCCACCGGAGAATAAAATATGACATTTATCGGCTGCAAGACGACGACGACCTCCATCCTCCCTCCTCTCCGACCTTTCCCTCCTCCTTACCCCGTCAACCGTTCGCTCTCCATTCCCTCCTCGGGGCTGCAGCGAGCACGAGTCCTGGTTGCTGGTGAGTACCATTCCAGCAGCGCCTCACGCGCGCGTGTCTCAGGCCTCTCGTACGATTGGAGTCGGCTAATTCACGAACCTATTTATCTCCATCTTCCCAGAACCTCGGAGTCGCCCCGCGAGCCCACATTTAACGTCCTCCGGCACGTCGCTCAACCGACCTGCAGTCATGCGCGCCCTCACCAGGCCCTTCGCGACGCACAACGTCTATTTCCCCATAGAGTCCATCGTCTTCGTCTTCGTTCTTGCCACCCTCGCCTACTTCCACATCCTCTCCGGCATCAAGCACTCGTCCTTCTTCGCGCCCACCTACCCTACCAATGTCAGGCCCGCCCATGCCCGGCTGAGCGGTGACGAATGGCTCGGAGTTACGCAACGGGACTGGCTCGACGCGGCCAAGCATCCGAAGGATGCCGTCAAGGCCTTGGAGTTGCAGCAGATTGTCTTCAGGCTGGACGACAAGGAGAGGACGGTGAGAGGTTTGCGTCCATGGTCAGACTCACCTTCTGATATGCATTGCGTAGGCGTTTCCAACGTCGACCCGACGGTACTCTCGGAGATCGTTGAGCACTTGCCCTCTCAGCTCACCGGCCTCAACGGGGACTCGTACTCGTCTGTTTGCTACTACCCTGGCTTGAATGTGACTGCTACCCCGTGCTTCGTGACCCGCTCTGCGGACTCCTCGGCTTCAGTCTTGACGTTGTCCTTCGTCCCTGGCGCCAGAGAAGACTGGCTCGCGTCTCTTCACCAAGTCAAGTCGGTCACGGTTGACAATGTCGAATACGACCTCGTCGGCGCGAAGCGCGAAGAAACCATTGGCGAGATGAAGAGCAGCAAGTGGGTCGCCTACGCTGTCCATGCTACGATTCTGCGCTTCTGGGAGCTCACGAAGGTACGGCGCGTCTATCTTCTGCTGCAATCATCCTGACAGATGTCATAGAAAGCGGACTCACTCGATATCATCGTCGTCCTCCTCGGCTACGTGCTCATGCACGCGACGTTCATACGGCTATGGCTGTCGTCGCGCGCACTGGGTTCCAACTTCTGGCTGAGCACAGGCATATTTTCCTCGAGCCTGATCTCCTTCCTCTTCACGCTCCCGCTTTGTCGCTATCTGAATATCCCGCTCGACCCTATCGCACTGACGGAGGCTCTCCCGTTCCTCGTATGCACCGTGGGTTTCGATAAGCCCTTGCGCCTCGCAAAAGCCGTGCTGGCCCAGCCACAGGCTCTCAAACCACAGGAAGACGGGCGGATGATACCTGCAGGCGAGGTCGTTCTCGAGGCGCTTGACCGGGTCGGCAACCTCATTCTCCGAGACTATGCGCTCGAAATTGCGGTGCTCCTCGTCGGTGTGAACAGTGGCGTCGGTGGCCTGAAGGAGTTCTGCTCAGTCGCGGCGGTCGCGCTGGGGATGGATTGCTTGATGCTTTGCACGATCTATACAGCGGTGTTGACACTCATGGTAGAGGTGAGTGTGCTGCTCCTGCTCTTTTGCTTCGCTGGGTTTCGCTCCAGAGAGCACCCGCTGGTCATGGGTCTTGTCACGCGTGTCATGTCGCCCGCGTGACATCCCTCGGCTGTTCCCGGTGGCGGATGCGCCGCCTCTGGCTTGTGAATCCCACAATTGTCTCTCCAGCTCTATGGCAGTATGACTGACCCGCTATGCTTGCACATAGGTTCGCCGTGTGAAGAAAGTGCGCCAAATGAACCGCTCTCGCTCGAATTCTCTCGGGCAGACCAGTGGTGGAATTCGCCCTGCACTATCCAAACGTCCTACCGCGAATGCGCCGACACCGAAGACGACTGGTGAGAGGTTGTCCGCTGCTGTGCTAGGGGTAAAGGGCTCTTTGCTCCCAGAGACTCCTGGGGGCAAGGTCCACCCTGCGGATGAGAATCCGATGTATAGGCTGAAGCTACTCCTGGTAAGTGGTTATTGTTTTAGTTGCTTCGGGTCGGCAGGGTCTCACTGATTACTATGATAGATCGCTTCGTTCTTGACTCTGCACATCCTCAACTTCATCACTCCCCTGACCTCTGCTAGCGCGAGCACCCGCCACCACAAGCACTCCGTGCGCACAGCGGCTGACGCGCTCCCACCTGCTCCCCTTGTCGACATCACCAGCCCTGCGATCTCGAGCATTCTCAAGAGTCTTGCTTTGGCTGAGAAGGCGGGTCTCGAATCCAGCGAGACTGACTCGGAGTCGGAGCTCCTTGTCAAAGTCGCTGCTCCTGCCTACCTTCGTATTTTGCCCGCTGCCAGACACTCCGGTTCAAAGGCAGAGGCTATCGAGAACTTCATGTCGAGCTGGTCTGACCTTGTCGGCGACCCGGTGCTCTCCAAGTGGATCGTCGTTCTGCTTGGGTTGAGCGTTGCTCTGAACGGATACCTACTCCGTGGCATTGCGGCTGGATCTGGGTTGGCTGCGATGAAGGCTGTGCGTGACAAGGGCGTGCGCTTCCGTTCGCGGGTGCGCTCTAGGGTACGGCCTGAGAGGGAGGAGCCTGAAGAGACCGAGCCCGCCCCCGAGCCTGTGGCTATCCATGCGCCTGTTGCACCTGTGACATTTGTGGCAGCCGCTACGGTCCCACCTGCGCATGTTGAGCGGCCAAAGCATGCGCTGCCGTCGTACACCCGTCGCTCAACCTCGATCGTATTGACATGAAGCTTCGCGAGGCCGCCATCCGTGCTCCCCTCACTCCTGCTGAGACGTCTTCGCCGACCAGCGATCCCGAGAGCTCACCGTTCCGGAAGGAGTCTAGCCGTGTGTCCACGCGCACGCTCGAGGAATGCATCGAGATCTTCGAGAATGGACCAAAGCCGGTATCCGTGGCGCTCTCGCTCTTGAACGACGAGGAGGTCATCTTGCTCGCGCAGAACGGAAAGATTGCGCCGTATGCATTGGAGAAAGTGCTTGGTGACTTGGAGCGGGCTGTTCATGTCCGTCGCGCTCTCATTTGTGAGTCAACCTGCTATTTGATGCTGATGGCCTGTGACTGACATCCACCTCAGCGCGCGCCTCGAAGACGAAGACGCTCGAGTACTCCGATGTACCTATGTCCCACTTCGACTACTCGCGTGTCATGGGGCATGCTGCGAGAACGTCATCGGATACATGCCCATCCCGCTCGGTGTCGCCGGTCCTCTCAAGATCGACGGCGAGCTGTTCCCGATCCCTATGGCCACCGCGGAAGGTACCCTCGTCGCGTCCACCTCACGTGGCTGCAAGGCCCTGAATGCTGGTGGAGGCGTCACCACTGTGCTCACGTACGACGCCATGACCCGCGGCCCTGCCATTGACTTCCCTCAATACAGTCGCAGCCAGGCACGTGCCTGGGTTGAGTCGCAGGAAGGTTAGCCATCGTCAAGGAGGCATTCGAGTCGACGTCCCGCTTCGCGAAGCTGCAGAACATTAATGTGCGATGGCAGGACGACATTGTTCGTTCGGTTCGCGACGCGTACGGGCGATGCGATGGGCATGAACATGATCTCGAAGGCGACCGAAAAGGCGCTGGACACGATGGCCAAGGAGTTCCCGAGATGGTCGTCCTTGCACTCTCGGCAACTACTGCACGGATAAGAAGCCGGCCGCGATCAACTGGATTGAGGGTCGTGGCAAGAGTATCGTCGCTGAGGCGGTTATCCCTGGCAAGGTCGTCAAGTCTGTGTTGAAGACGACAGTCGACGCGTTATGCAACCTGAACACGAAGAAGAACCTGTTGGAAGTGCTATGGCAGCTTCCATTGGTGGGTTCAACGCGCATGCAGCGAACATCCTCACGCGATCTTCTTGGCGACTGGTCAGGACCAGCGCAGAACGTCGAGAGCTCACAGTGCATGACACTTATGGAGGCGTGAGTTTGCATTGAACACTAATATTTGCGTTTCCTGATGTCTTTGTTAAGGACTAACGGCGGCGAAGACTTGCTGTCACGGTCACTATGCCTTGCATTGAGGTCGGCACTGTTGGTGGCGGCACTGTCTTGCCCCCAACAAGCTGTACTGAAATGCTCGGCGTCAAGGGCGCGCACCCGACAAACCCTGGTCAGAACGCGCAACAACTTGCCCGCATCATCGCGTCTGCAGTCATGGCTGGCGAGCTGTCACTTATCAGCGCCCTCGCCGCCGGTCACCTCGTCCGCGCGCACATGGCACACAACCGGTCGCAGGCGAACACACAGGCAAACACGCCAGCAGTGTCGCGACCCGAAACCCCCGCCATCCTCTCCCCTAATACCTCCACTTTCTGGAACAACGTCTCGAAAGGCGTGATGACCCCAATGACGTCCGGTGCGCACACCCCTGCGCCTGTACAGGCGAGCGGGTATAGCATCGACGCGAAGACAGCCGCATAGTCCCACGTCGTCGTCCTGTCGTTGCATGTCTTCGTTCTTGAGTTACTCTTATAGCCTTATCAATCTTACCTGACCCTACTGCGTTCGCGGCTGCTGATGGCCGGTTCAGCGTGTACTTACCATGCATCTAGCGACATAGACGGACGGACGGCTGCGGAGTTGTAGTAGTAACTTATCACGATCTTCCCAATACATTAGCATATATACCGACGTCAGAGTGGGTATCACAGGAACCCAGATCAATCCATGAGACTGCCGCCGTTGACCAAGATCGTCTGTCCTGAGGAAGGTTCATAACCAGTAAGTCTCCCGTCCAAAGTGGTAGGGCGTCCATCGCTGACGGACCTGTTACGAAGTGCGATTCGGGGCTGGCCAGGTAGGATACCATACTTGCCACCGTCTCGGGCCCGGATTCAGGACAATCTGGTGGTAGTCCGAAGAGCTGTAGGAAGCGGACGATGAATCACGTAGTACGAAGATTCAGCCATCCATGCGCACCTTCTTGACCGTTGAGCCAGGCTTGCCTCCATTCTTCTCATCGTCCGGATGGTAGGCTGGGGCCGAGCCGACGTCAGAACGACCACAGTCGTTCATATGGACGGACGCACCTAGATCTGTTATGATGAACCCTGGCGCATATGCGTTCACCGTGATTTTGTGCGGAGCTAGCTCGAGGGCTACGTAGTGCTGTGTCTGCATCAAGGTAATCGTGAGAGCCGTAGGTCTGGTGCTTACCGACGGTTTGAGTCAGACCACGGACGGCGAACTTCGTCGCACTGTATGCAGCTAGGCTGGTAGTACCTGTCCAGGAAAACCGAGATGTTAGCAGGTCAGTCCGAGTCAGATATATCACACTTTTTACCGATCCTTCCAGCCTGGGAGCTCGCACCTGTGAACCGACTCGTTTAGCTATCGCACTGTACCCACGACATTGCGCCATCTAACCAATTATCCTGCCACCGCGACCTTGCTTGACCATTTGTACTGCGGCATATCTGTAACACAACATGACGCCCGGAGGTTGATGGATACGACGCGCTCCCACTCTTCGGTAGTTGCTGTGGGCGTGATTATCAGCGTGTGGGACACTCGGCGCATGCATAAATGGATGTCGCACTGTCGAGAAAGGCTTGTGCAGCGCGATTCCTGCGTTAGCTATCATCTGGCGTAGAAAGCGTCTCAATGGATCGGAGTGGCTCTGTGTACGGACACATGACCGCGTACCACGTCTATGCCTCCGAGCTCTTCGACCACTTTCGCGGTCATCGCCTTGACGTCGTCTTCATTGGACACATCGCCTGGTAAAGCTAGAGATCGCCCGCCTTTCGCTCGGATTAGCGACACGACCTCTTGCAGCTTGCTTGCCTTGACACGATGTCGTTCACCGCAACGTCCAGTCCGTCGTCCGCTAGCCTGAGCGCGATGCTCAAGCCAATCCCTTGCGCTGCTCCAGTGACGATTGCAACACGGGTGGAAGGGCGGCCATGATGCTAGATCGTAGTAGGTGAGGTCGCAGGTACATATGAACTCCCGACCTTTCCCAAGGCAATGGCCCAGTCGAGACATCAGGCAGATGACCCGCTCTCAGTGAGCATGGGATCCCCAACCTGAGAAAAGACGTCCGATAGTAATCATATGCAAGTTATCGCGAATAGATGCGCTCGGCGAGATCTGTAGTACAGTCACTACAAAGGCCGTATACGAGGCTCTCTGAGCTGCAAGGGACTGTAAGTGACAGCTTTGAAAAGGGAAATCGCGCTGGGAGTTTGTGTACTACGAATTTCTGCACCGCTGGTTTGGCCAGACGTCGTGACGCACCGCATGCGTCGAGATACCGGAAGCTGTAAGGCCTGAGACAGACATCGCGGAATTTGCGCAACGGCGTTATTGCCTGATACATCTGGTCCATCGTGAGAAAGATGGTGGCTTATTGTACCTCAGAAACCTGCATTGTAAGTCCGCTATCGGTCTGGCGGAGGGCTGCCCGTCTTCATATCGACCTGTTATGTGCTGATCTCCAGAGAACAGCGTTCTCGTCGCCTGCTCCTCTAACGTCCATCTGTTTGACCCTGGCGATGTCCACATATTCTTGTTATCATTTCGACAAGCTGTGGGCTGTGGCCCGCTAGGTAAGTCCAACTGTGTGCGGAAATCCGTCAGACTGATAAGTGTTCGACCCGCCTACAACATGCGCGCACGTCATGGGCGGGTAGTACAAGGTATATAACAGAAGCTCGTCGTGCCGAAGTGCTGACTGCCATGGTGGCGCCTTCGTCTTCGTCGATGTTCTCGCGGAGTATCGGTCACGGTGGTCTACCGCCGGGTAATCGACTCAAGTTGGGAAATACTACTATAAGTATGTGCGCCCCATCATGTCCTCCACACATTGTTGACAGTAGCTTCTCGCCTTCACTCAGTGAACGAAGATTCCTTGAAGGTATGTGGATATTCAGTATGGATTGATTGCGTATGACTCGGACAGGGACACATGTCACCGGCCGCAGGCCTCCCTCGACTCAATCAGCAGCTGCAATTGCGCTGCAAGCCGGCAAAGAGTAGCAACTCGCTGCTCACTTCTTTTGGATCCTTGTCAAGCGAGCTCTCGGATATGTCAGAGGCTGGCCGGCTACTCTGCGTGCTGCAGAGCGAGTCTCGGACAGCTCGGGCGATCTACGGACTGATTCAGGTAACCATGCATGGGTTGCTTCGCGATATCAATCCGTCGTTATTTGCGGTCGTCTTGGCAGTGACAATCGTGATCTCGGAGTCTCAACCATCTGAGGTGAGCCTTTTGAACGTGGCTGCCTATTGCTTGCTCTTGACTTGCTCCCCTCATCATGGCAACGCCCAAAACATCTGTCCTTGCTCGTGGATGTTTCGCATAGTGGACCCGGTAAGCGTGTCATTCATCAGGTATTATGATGGCCTCACATCATAGTGGGTGGATGTGTGGACGAACGTTGGAACGAGCGCGAGCAGGCGGGCGGGTGGACTAACGAGCAACACGAGGGTCGTCGTTGGGCGCGTTGTTGGCGGGCTTTCAATTGCGCCTCGCGTTTGGGCGAGGGATCTCCGGGGCAGTACTCGCTAGGATGGTGCTCGTCCAGCGGGTGCTCGTCGATCTCGTGCTCGTCGAGCTCGTGGTCGGCGGGCTCTGGCTTGTCGGGGTCATCTTCGTGGGAATCGACGAGACGTGGGCGACTTACCTGCTATAATGGCCCGCGGCGGGCTTGGGCTTGTCGAGCAAGTGGTCGGCAGGCTCGTGCTCGTTGAGCGGGTGGCCGTGGGTCGTCGGGCTCATGGTCGGCGGGCTTTGACTTGCCGGGGTTGTCCTCGCGGGGAGCTGATGCTAGACGGATCTTCGGAAAGCGTGCCACAAAGCAGGTCGCGAACGAAGCTCAGATCGCTGCGGGCAGTTGCGCAGGTCCGGTCACGGTGGCGAACACTCTGTAGATGTCGAATGCAACGTACTTAGTTAGATTAAGGATCGAGAGGGCGACTATCAATATATATACTTGAAACTTGTACCCAGCGAGATCTTAGAGGTTCGCGCATGGCTACGTGCCAGTACGAGCAACAACCGCCTTGAGGGTATAGTGCGCAACCGGCCAATACAACATGAACTATCGGTCTCATACAAGCATCAGGGCTTCGTGAACAGACCAGAGTGTTGAAGTACGTTCTACTTATGGTGAGCCCGCATTAGTCTGGCATATAGCAGCCAGTCACTTGAAGCCCTAGTGGTTTATGACCACTTACTATCACCCTGTTGAGTACAGACAGCCTGATACGTCTATGAACAAGTTCTGCTAGGCAAAAGAAACCTAGTTCAAATTTGCGGGCAGCCTGTTACTTCTGTTATATGTGATCATCCATTGTTTTGCCGTACCAGACCGTTGCCAGTCTGTTCCCAATTTCGCGATGGAAGCTCTCAAGGCATCCGCGCTAACTAGTATGTGGCAAGCTGCCAAGCACGAGTTCAATCCCTGAAGAGTACCTGTTTGACTCACAACTGTAATCCGTGTATACGTAGGCAGTCCTTCAAATTTGAGAGAGATCGACGCGCAATAACCTGATGAGGAGGAAGTAAGGATCCAAATCCAGCGCGTCCTGTCACGCATGGCTAAAGTCGCGTGATCGTGTCAAGCTCCCTGTCACGCGTGTCCGCGGCCGCCCTCCGGTGGACCAGCCTCTGATGTCCTCTATGTAATCGTGGCCGTCTATCCGACACCCACAGGCCACTTCATCTTGTTTGTCACACCAGCCAGTGGATCGCCCTGCATGCACAATTTCCACGGATCATGGGACTTGGTACCGCCCAGTCAGACCATAGTGAGACCGTTCATGCAACTAGATCTGAGGTTTAAATAATATCACTACAGTACATGTCCAGGCCGTTCTGAGACCGGCGCAAGGATGTGATGCGTATTGAATTCTGATGCGCCCTGTCATGTCGGCACTAGTGCCGGCCATGGTTGAGCGATGGACCGACGACTACCCCCATCGTCAATCACTGTCAGTGATCAGCAAGGCGAGTAACGTCTAGTTTCGTTGATGAGCCTTACTTATTCAACAATTGACGGTTGTGTAGATTTCCGTAATGGCAGGCTGGGGTCTCGTTCTTCGATGCATACTAACACTGCTTGATAGGATGGCCATGCAGACAGTCTGCGATACCACCGAGTAAATATGGATACATCCTGAGTCGGGTCACTGTCTGTTGAAAAGGTAATGCCAGCCGCCAGCACTGCATGAGCCGTCAGCTGATGCTAAGCCCCGCATCGGCAGCAGACGGTACTTAGCAGTGTTTGGTTAGGCCAAAATCCCATGTTCTCAAGCTCCCCCGGCCGATCAACAGGGATGTGTTACGTCCGTCCGAGGGCTGTTATTGACATTTATTCGCCGTGCTCAGACTCCTCCTACATAGTCAAAATGTCAATGCTCCAGCAGAGCAATCACAAACCCAATGAGTCGTGCCTAGTCGAGAAGGCGGGACCCTTCTTTCGGCTACTACGTAGCCTCGCAGGCGACACCGTCAGCCTGAGAACCGAGTGCTGATCTAGGGCCTCGGCGCGGTCAAGTAGATGCGAGTGAACAGAGATGGCACGTCTCGTACATGCCCGCTCTCGAGCGTACGTTCCACAAATTGTTAGGGCATCGTGTGTAGACATGCTCACCTGTGCTGAGAAACCATCAATTCGTTCCTGTGATAGGGCTTCCGTGACCGTACAGCGAACGGCAAAACCAGTGTCGGGGAGCTTTATGTCTCACTGCGGATAGACAGCACTGAGCTCGGGCGACGCGAAGTTGTTGAAAACATGGGTAAACTCGTCGGAGAAGGTACGCCGTGGGCGCTTGCGTGTATGGGATAAAAGCAGAGCTGAGAATGCTACTCGACCATCGCACTCCTGTTGTTCCTCAACTTGCATCTTCGCATCAGTATGAAGTTCACCGCTCCTTTCGTTGTTCTAGCCTGTGTCCTATTCGAGGTCGCCACTGCTGCGCCAGCACGCCCCAGTGACACAATTCACTTCCCTCGCCATGAAGGTCAGTAATTTAATGTCTGCTTGAGTCGTCTTGCTGTACTAATCTACTGTCTTGCCATAGACCTTGAAAAGCGCGGTACATACTCTTGAACATTCTACCATGCATCATGTCTGACGTTTGACCTGGTCTTCGTGTTGCCTAGCACCTTCCTGGACCACGGTCGGCGACGGTCAGACATCGTCTACCCACCCAGATGTTCGTTACTGATTGACGTTCTCTGTGCAGACCTGACTGCCGTTCCCGGTGACGGCGGCATCGAAGGTCAGATATAGTCCACTCGCTGACTGCGTCTGCTGCGCTGATGTAAGGGTAGCGCCGCAGGCGCCGGCTACATCTCACAAGCGCTGAGGTACGATCGCTCAAGCGCTCGTCCGCTGTACGAATAAACATTTTATTTTCCTTTCATTCCGCTTTCCACTCACTTTTACTTACTCATCCACGACCCGGTCTAGACTCATTCCGTATCCGTTCGTGGCTGTCCTCGGAGTGGCAGCAGTGGCAGCCCGAGTGGCGGCCTGTGCCACAGCTTGCCACTCATCCTTTGTACTATGACTCACTTCGCTTACATCACTCACGTTCTCGCTCGATTCGGTCTTTATTCACTCATGTATAAATACTGTACCTACGCCGGGCAGAAGCCCAAGCAACGAGACGAGTATTTGCCCACTCATCCGCTATCCGCCCGCTCTCGCCTGCTTCTAGTGTTTTCCGACTTCACCGACGCTCGCCACCGCTTTACCCGCTAACGCTCGCGTCACCGAACCCGGATTTCCCACATTTTTTTGAGTGTTATTTCTTTCTCGTTTCAACATATAAACCCTCCGCGACGGACTGATCACCCGCTCGCGCCCGAAAATTCTTTTCTTTAGGTACCTACTAACATCTAGATAACGACATGTCAGCTCACTCTAACAGTGATGAAGAAATCGGCACCGAGCCGCGAGGACGAACGCTCGCGGACGAGGTACGTACGGCGGGAGGCGACCTCGACGCAGAGAGGTACGCACCCGGCGTGTTTGAAGGGACGGGCCTGTTGAGCGAGTACCAACTTCCGCCACCGGAACCCGACGCCCGCGATCAACAGGGACCCCCTCTATTCGCTGCGACTGACATTGCCCTCGCCGTCAAGTGGGGCATCACGGACTACGACGTACTCGCCAAGTACGCCACCGGGTCTCGCAGGGTCACGCGTAGTGCCAAGAACGCGCTGCGAAGAAACCTTGAGTCAGCCGCACAAACTCAAGAAGTTCGAGGTACGAACTTGAGCCCTGTCGCCGAAAGACGCGATGCAAGGGATGATAGCGCGCCGTCGATCCCACTGCGAAGTGGTGATCCGGCTGGCGCACCGTCGATCCCGATGCAAAGCGGTGATCCGGTTTACAGTAACGCACCGTTGATCCAGCCACGAAGTGGTGATCCGGTCGCTCAGAGCGCGCCGCGACGCAATGCGACGCCGGAAAGCGAGGTGCCTAGCACCGAGAGCTCGCTGACCCGATCAACGGATCGGGAGTCCAGCCCCGCTGTGTCCTCTCCAGCCGACATGGGGAGCGACTCGAACCACAGCTGGCAAATGGTACCTGTTCGAAAGTCAGAAGCTTCGTCGACTACGAACAGTGAAACAAGGGTAACTAAACGTTACTTCTTCCCGGATTGGTTCGATCTGAGTGAATCAGATGATCCTTATGGATCTATTCCAGAGGAATGGGGAACTTCCGATGGAGAAGTAAAGGAGGAGGAACAAAGCTCACCTACTCTACCCACGATAACTCCTGTAGATTACTCTGAGTTCGATGAATTAATCAGTATTATGTCGGACTCGGAGGGCGCATCTTATGAGTACTCAGCCGCCGAAGACTCCGATGAGGAGTATAATCAACTTCAGATCGCGATTGCACGATCACTCAGTGACGACACGCGAAAGACTACCTACGAAAGGTTGGGTGAGTCTAGCAGAAGTCAGAACGGAGACGTACCTGTGAATGCAGTAATTGTTGAGGTCGAGGCAGAACCGGCTAAAACAAAGAAATATACTGCAAAGGAGAAAGGAAAAGGTGTTGACCGAGACGAGGAACAGAAGGAATTCTTGCGTACCTTTGTCCGCGGTCAAAGTGCACCCCCGAGACGCACACCAGAACCTAAGAAGGATAAACGTCAGCCGTCTGAAGGAGCGCAAGATGCCTCGAACCGACGAAGCGAGAATCATACCTCGGAGCGACAAGGACAGCCCAAGAAGGCTGCAAAGAGTACGCGCTTCAAACGCGAAGATTCGCAGGTCCCGGGAGGTGGCTTCTTCAGTTCAAAGGTGTTTGGTTCCGACTCAGATGACGACGGCGATGGCCCTCCTAGTCCCCCACTTCAGACAATGGCTCGAATGGAGGAGACAACTCACCTAGTAGCTCGGACTCATCATCTGACAACGAGTCAGATGGAGGCTCGAGCAGCTCAGATGGCAGTAGAGGTCGCCATCGGAGCCCAAGTGAACGGTCACATCGTCGACGAACGCGTGCTGACAAGAGGCGGCTACACCGCGCAATTTCCGGCATTAAGCTGAAGACGCCGTTCGTATGGGATGGTAAACCGGACCTGGACCTGTTTGATCACTGGGTATATGAGGTTGAGACATGGCGCAAGTTGCATGAACTCGATGATCGACTTACCTTGAAGATCGTCGTCAACTTCATGTCGGACAAACCCAGCCGATTCTACATGCAGCATGTAGCAATGCATCAACGTGAATGGACACTACGTACCTTGTATGAAGCGCTCTTCGAGTATTGTTTCCCGAGTGACTTCAAGCGAAAGCTTCGTGAGAAGTTGATGTCTGCGAAACAGGCGCATGGTCAAAAGGTCCGAGACTTTGTACGAGAAATTGAGAAGCTCGCCTCACGGTTCCCGGATGTCACCGCACGTCAATTGGTACAGATCTTTTGGTCTGGTATTCACCAGTACCTGAGACTGTACTTGATCGAGAGAGGTCTTGATCCAGAGGTCACGATGATCGACCGGCTCGTGAAGCATGCGAAGCGCAGAGAAGACGCATACTTCGCGAAGCTAAGAGAAGACCGTGAGTTTACAGGACGTGTTCCTGGACGTACCTGGGGTCGGTTCCAGAACCGAGTTGATGGCCCGCAGCCCTACACACCGAACAATGCTTCAACTCCGAAGAAGGCTGGTGTTGAAGCAAAGAACATCAACGTAGGGAAGTCACAGCACAAGGGTCACTCACAGGGTACAGGCCCGAAGCCTCACTCGCATCCACATTCACATGGCAGTGAGAAGCGGTCGAAACTCAGTAAGGAAGAGCGTGATCGCCTTCGCGCCGAAGGACGATGCTTTGAGTGCAAAGACACTGGTCACGAAGCTCGCAATTGCCCTCGTCGAAAGAAGGCGAAAGCGCCGTTCGTACAGGCTAGCTCGGCGAGATTTGCGGACATTGATCAGCTAGCGCGAGCAGCTAGTGAGGCCCAGATTTCTGTCAATGCAGTTAACATTCCAGTCGTCGAGTCTAGCGAACCCACGGAGGCATGGCCACATGCTCACCAGGAAGATACTGTGCAGTACATAGTAGCACTCTTCCAGTCTCGAGTAGATCCTCGTGATGCCGAACGAATGGGTATGGCTCCTGAAGAGCGTTTTTCAGCCATAGCACTGGGGGATCGCTATGAACTCACCGACTGGCTGCAACCGGACTGGCCGATCATCGTACATGAAGAGGACTTACGGGATCCAAATGTTAATGTGCCAGAATTGGTTCAGCGTGCAGTACGCGAACGCAATGCACAGTCTGAGGAGAGGACATCAGCATACCCGGACGCCTTTTCAGAAGACGAGATACCTACGGCTTGCCGATGGCTTGACGCACGTATTTGCGCAGCACTTCCAGAGGACCTGGGGATCGATCCGGAGGGCGTGTCCGTCGTCTGGGATGAGATGGCGCAGGCCTATGTCGTATACCTCCGGAACATTGACCTACGGTTTTGCGTGACACACGAGGACATAACGCGTGCGGATTTTGACGCACAGCGTATCCTGTTTGATGTGCTGTGCGACCGAGCACAGAGTGCGGACCCAGAGGTCGATCTGGAGGGCGTCTTGGACGAGCCGACTACAGACGCAGCAGCACGCCGACGTCGCAGGTTACTGCAGTCGCCGCCCGGCGTGTTTTGCGGTGCTGTGGCAAAGATGAACTGCGCTTCAGTTAAGACTGGTTCGGCAAAGCGAGATCAAGGACGTACCTTCGGAAAAGACACAGTACATGCTGTCGAGCATACCTCCATGCGTCCCAAGGACTTCGCGCGCCGTATCCCGAAGCCACTGATCGTAGAAGTCATGATCCAAGGAAAGCCGGTGCGAGCATTGCTCGATACAGGTTGCATGGCAGACTTCCTGTCGACAACGCTCGTCGACCAGCTCGGCTTGAAGAAGGATTTGCTCGCAAAGCCGTTACCTGTTCAACTCGCAGTACATGGATCACGCTCAAAGATCAACTACAGTACTACAGTTGATATAGCTTACCAGGACATCCGCTGCTCGCGACGTTTTGACATCGTCAACCTCGATAATTACGACGCGATCCTCGGCACGCCATTCATCTTCCAGCATAAGATTGCTATTAGTCTCAACCCGACTCGGATTGCAGTCGGCTCACCTGTTCCTCAACCTATCATTGGTGAAGAGGCTACCGAGGTACGTTCTGCGGCTGCTGATGTACTTGAAGCTTCGCTTGACGAGTTGCGCGCCCAGTTACAGCATGAAGCGGAGGACCTGTGTCAAGATCCTACTCGCGCGGCCCTACCTCCTTTCCGGGATATCAATCACACGATACCATTGATGGACGAAGGTAAGATCTACAAATGGCGACCTTCTAAGTGTCCTGAAGCGCTGAAGCCTATCTGGCAGGCAAAGAAGCAAGCTTACCTCAATAGTGGACGATGGCGCTTCGCCTCCGGAAGGAATGCTTCCCCGATGCTTATCCTGTCCAAGCCGGGGAAGGATGGTCAGCAGGGCATACGAACTGTTGTAGATAAGCGCGAGGATAACGCAAATACAGTGAAGATGGCTTCACCTTTACCTGACATCGACACGATTCTTCGGAACGTTGTACGGCACACCTACTGGACAATGCTTGATGGTAAGGATGCGTACGAGCAGATCAGAGTTGACAAATCACACGTACCGCGCACTCTTTTCACGACACCTGATGGCACGATGGAGAGTCTAGTGATGCAGCAAGGCGACTGCAATGGTGGTGCGACGTACCAGATGGTAATGAACCACATTTTCGCGCCATATATTGGTGTCTTCATGGATGTCTATCTGGACGACATTGTCATCTACTCAGATACAGTCGAAGATCACATGAAACACGTACGCACTGTATTTTCAGTCCTGCGACGCGAGAAGTTCTATCTAAATCCTTCAAAGATGCGCTTCTTCGCGGCAGACTTGAAGATTCTTGGCCATGTGATCGACCGGAAAGGTATTGCAATGGATCCGCACAAAGTCGACTCAGTAGCGAACTGGAAGGTTCCTACGAACAAGTCGCTCTTAAGTAGTTTCCTAGGAGCTGTGGGGTTCCTCGCACCTGACTGTCCTGGAATCCGGATCCCAATGGGTGTACTTGCGCCGCTTGCCGGGGCTACTACCCCCTGGCGCTGGACACATACGCACCAGCGAGCCTTTGAACAGGTCAAGGATATTGTTAGCAAGATGCGTGATAATCGAAGAGTTGCATTGGATTACTCACCAAATGCACCTTCGATCAACCTCGTTACGGACGCTTCGTTGACTGGGGCTAGTGGATACATTAGTCAGGGAGATGACCTAAAGACAGCTAAGGTCGTCACCTTCTGGTCTGGCAAGTTCAACTCGGCGCAACAGAATTACCCTGTGCACGAACAGGAGCTGCTCGCAATAGTTGAGTCCCTGAAACGTTTTCGTGGCCTGTTACATGGTGCGAAGTTCCGGATCTGTACGGATCACAAGGCTCTGGAATATATAATGGGTCAGAAACATCTATCACCGCGTCAACATCGCTGGATGGACGTGCTGAATGAGTTCAACTTCACGATTCATTATATACCTGGCGAGACAAACATACTCGCTGACGCCCTGTCACGTATCTACAGCGATGAGCCATTAGGCATACAGCGCGCATCGAGTGAATACGTGAGCCAGGAGCTTCGAGATCACGAAGATCAAAGTTCGACTCACCTCTCAACGCTGCAGAACGCTGCAGTAAGCGTCCTGCGTCCGGTATACACTGGTGCTGCAGCAGTTATCGACTTCGAGCCGAGGCGATCCTCGCGTCTGGCAGGAAAGCCGCGCACACGTTGGAACTTTGATTCACATGAACGTGTTAGTGAAGCTGCGAAGAGCGCTGTATCGGGAGACTCACAAGTTCACGATGCTCGGCATTCCGAATCTGGTCAACCAGACTATGAATCCGAGGATGAGCCATCGCCTGTTGAAACAGATGAGGTCAGTGAACCTGTAGAAAACCAGGCTGAAGATGTGGCACACGGAATAACATACCCAATGGACACTATTCCAACCAGCGTCCTCATCTCGAGTGATCTTGGTATGCCGATGCCCGAGACACTTGAAGGGCGCTATGCTGAAGATAAATTCTTCCGAGAAATCCTACTCAAACCAAGTGAGTACAAGGACTTCGCAGTAAAAGATGGTTTGATTTACCTTCGACGAGGAGGCGTTGACATCTTGTGTATTCCGGATATCTTGGTCGGAACACGACGTGTTCGCGAGGTGATTATCAAGCATGCCCATTCGGTGCTAGCTCACCTTGGCGCACGCAAGACGCTCCTGTATCTGCGCGAGGAGGTCTGGTGGAAGACTATGGTCGACGACGTGACCTCGTACTGTCGAACATGCGGTGTCTGCGCGACAAGCAAATCAGTCAATCAGCAGCCAATGGGATTGCTGCGTACCTTGCCAGTGCCCACCCGACCTTGGCAATCGATTGGGATAGACTTTGTCGGCCCGCTCCCGGAGTCGACGACATTGTCAGGCTCCTTTGACATGATATGCGTCGTAATCGATCACCTTACCTCGATGGTACACCTGATACCTACACGGCAGACCTACGGCGCGATTCAAATCGCAGAGGTTGTCTTCGAACATGTATACAAACTGCATGGTCTACCAGAACGAATCATCAGCGACCGGGACACTCTATTTACGAGTACGTTTTGGACTCACCTTCATCGCCTCATGAACACAGAGTTGCGCCTATCGTCGGCTTATCACCCACAGACCGACGGCGCCACAGAACGTGCAAACCGCACCATGACGCAGATGCTGAGGCAGTGTGTCAGTCCCGATCAGAAAGATTGGGCTTCTCGCCTACCTGCAGTCGAACTAGCAATGAATACGGCGCGTTCGGACACGACCGGATTCTCGCCGTTCTACTTGAATTACGGCCAGATGCCGCGGACACTGGTTTGGGATTATCAGTCGACCTACCCAGGTGTTCAGCGTTTTGCACAGCGAATGCGCGAAGCGATCATGGCGGCGCACGACGCGATCATTGCAGCGCGAGTGCAGCAGACGCGGCATGCGAACAAGCATCGCCGACCTGCACCGTTTAAAACAGGCGACTTGGTATACCTGTCAACTAAGAACCTAAGACTGCCAACGGGACGCGCGCGAAAGCTCGTACCTAAGTTCCTTGGCCCGTTCCGCATCGCGCGTGTTGTGGAGCCAGGGGCAACCTACAAGCTGGAACTGTCGCCGGAATTAAAAGCGCGAGGCATCGCGGACGCGTTCCATGCCTCGCTGCTGCGCCCGCATATTCCGAACGATGACCGACGCTTCCCGGGGAGACAATTCCACCAGTTGCCGGGCTTCAGCGAGCAGCCACGCGAATGGGTCGTCGACCGAATTGTGTCGCACAGTGGCCGAGGTTCGAATGCTGAGTTCCTGGTCAGATGGTCCACTGGTGACGAAACTTGGGTACCGTACCATGACGTCCGTCACCTGCAGGCTCTGACCGAATATTGCGAAGCCCTAGGCATTGTGAGCATTAGCCAGCTCGTTGACCCGCCGCCGGCACCTGTGAAACAGACTAGCGCAGATGCTATCGAAATGAAATGCTGCCGACTTACCAGCCAAAGTCAGGCTAGGGTGCCACTGCCAGTGGCAGAGCCACGAGACAAGCCACTGGAGACATCGCGTTGCACAGCCTGTGGACCGTGCCGTAGAAGGTACATGGAAGCTGTTAAAGGGGAGGATGAGACCTGGCGAAAAGCCATTGCAGCGCGTTCACTTACCTCGCATTACAAACCTCACTCGCGATCCTCTAAACCGACCGCTCCATCGCACTGTACACCGTGTTCTGCTCAGCGTACGTCGCACTCGATGTCACACTGCAATGCGAGCTTACCTTCCATGTTACCACGCAGCTCAGTCACCATGACCGCATCTGTGAACCCCCGCCAGTACACCGCTGATGATCGTATCCGTTGGGACCGTTACGCCGAACAGTTCCGCGCGTTCCTTAACGGCACGGCGCCTTTCCCTGGTGACCCTCCCGAGGGATACCGCGAGGTATACCGCGTGTCGCAACGTTTCGCGCCGCTTCCGGAGGAATACTCCTCGCGCGTCTTGGAGGCTCGAAACGCCAGCCGTGCCACGACTCGACCGTCGACGGGAGGAGTCCAAGGCAGCGGAGGTGCTGTAGTACCCACGCCCGCAACCGGTGTCACGATGACCGGTGACGCTTTTGCAACGTTCTTGGACCACAGCACGGCCATGCAGCAGCAGTTCTTGGGCTACCTGAAGGACGCGCGCGCTGGTCATGGCCCTCGTCCGGTTCCGCCTCGCTACGGCCGTGGTCGTTCGCGCGGTGCCCCTCGTGGTGGTCTTGGTGGACGCATCGGTCAGCCGGGTCGTGGGCCCTACGGTGGTGGACGTCCCGAGAACGCTAGGACGCGTCGTCGCCAGCGCCGTCAGGGGCGTGCGCAGCATCCTGAGGGTACCGAAGAGGGTGCGTCCGTCAGCATTGAGCATGGCATATACGGGGTACTCACCTCGCTATTCCCAGGCATAGCCTCGCAGGCGTCAGGTAGTGGTTCGACTTCGAACTCCCAGGCTGCCAGCCAGGGAAACAATAGCTACGAAAACGAAGACGTACCTGCTGACCACGACGACATCGACCTCTCGATGACCGACGACTTCGACGACGAGGACGCGTCGCGCTTTTGAATGTACCCGGCGCCCCCAAAGACTTGTCATGGACAAGTCTTGGAGGGCGAATGTAAGGGTAGCGCCGCAGGCGCCGGCTACATCTCACAAGCGCTGAGGTACGATCGCTCAAGCGCTCGTCCGCTGTACGAATAAACATTTTATTTTCCTTTCATTCCGCTTTCCACTCACTTTTACTTACTCATCCACGACCCGGTCTAGACTCATTCCGTATCCGTTCGTGGCTGTCCTCGGAGTGGCAGCAGTGGCAGCCCGAGTGGCGGCCTGTGCCACAGCTTGCCACTCATCCTTTGTACTATGACTCACTTCGCTTACATCACTCACGTTCTCGCTCGATTCGGTCTTTATTCACTCATGTATAAATACTGTACCTACGCCGGGCAGAAGCCCAAGCAACGAGACGAGTATTTGCCCACTCATCCGCTATCCGCCCGCTCTCGCCTGCTTCTAGTGTTTTCCGACTTCACCGACGCTCGCCACCGCTTTACCCGCTAACGCTCGCGTCACCGAACCCGGATTTCCCACAGCTGACCTGCGCTGACTCACCGCTATGTGCAGACGTGACGGCTCGCGGTCCAGACACTGATGAGGTATTCAGTGGCCACAGCGTCGAAGGTCGGTTATAGTCCACCCGCTGACTACATCTGCTGCGCTGATTCACGGCTTTGTGCAGACGTGACGGCTCGCAGTTAAGATGTTATTGGGTTGTCCGAGGGGCGTGTTCCCGATTTTTACAACCTTACGCTTGAAGACCGTGCCGGTGATTCCTATGGTGTCGGTGTCAGAGGGAACTAGGCACTCTCTGGAACAACCATGGTCTATCGTTTCCCTGCCGTGGTTGCATACACTGTAACCGTGGTATATTTATAGGAAAGTGGATATTCACATAACTTGGATTGCGAAGCTTGTCAAGTTTGGAACGTGTACACCCGGTGATCGGTCTTTGAACGACAGTTACAGGCCACCAGCCCCTTGCGTACGTCTCTTCGGATCATAAGATTAATGATGTGTTATGACCCGCGACTGGAAGCCACAACCGATTAAAAAAATTTCAGTATCTGTCAAGTATCTGTACGTCTTCGTTGCATTGGAGGACCGAGTCTCGGTGAAGACGTCCAATGAAATTCAGCTTATGGACGACGACCTGAGAGACAGGCCACATTTGAATTCCTTGATACTGCATCCGCCGGAGCCCGCATCGCACCCGCCGGCACTCTCGCTGGCCTCATTCACTTCAAGTTCGCACAGCATTGTCTTGAGCTGCACGCATTCCACGTCGAGATTGATATACTTATTGATAGCTTGCAGGCCGACGCCACGCGCATCATCAGGGCGCTCTCCGACGCCGCCGCGCCTATCTAGGCCCAAATGTCGATCGCCGAGCAGCTCACAAGTGGATGTCCATCTCCTGCCCTCCGCTAAATCGCTGCGCCAGCTTCACAAACTTCGAAGCGGCATCGGGCTCAGAAACGCGACACCATCACCAGTTCGACTTGAAGTTCAATGGTGGCCGCCCGTATCCCTCGACACTACTGTAGTACTAAGCTGCTGATGCTACTAGCATATGCTGCATCCTGTTGACGGGCCCGCTGCGCTCCTTATAAGTAAGCGGACATTGATATTGATTATTGAAAGCCAGGCTTTCTGTGACCGGGTACTACTGTATTGGGCCAGGATCTCGGACACCCTAGCGGTCTGTGAGCTCCCCTGAGTCCAAACACAAGGAAAACGCTCCATTCGATGTACCAGTGTATGCTAGAATATCACAGGTATGTGTTCCAGAAGTCGAAATAATTTTAGATACATTGAGACAGGCGTAGTGAATATTTCGGCGAGACAGGTGCATAAAGACGGCCGGACGACCTAGTCGGACACGCGTGGGAACTACAACAACATTAGCGCCCTAGTAAGCGCCAGCGACGAGCAAACAGGGTATGAGGGGCGCGACGAGAGCAGTACAACGAGAGGGAATAAAATATGGATGAAAATGACTGAGGAAGGTCTCACTGTGCCTTCCGACGAGGATTGCGACGTAGAGCGCGTGCTTCTGCAGGTGTAGCGGTCGCAGGAGCACCAACTTGTCCAGTGAGAGCGAGCCCTTCCGAGTCCTCGACCTCTGGACCGACTCGAGCTGCAGCGACACCAACAACGGCGCGATCCTCACCAGGGTTGGGGGCCGACCCAGAAGAAGTCGGGGCAGCTGACGTGGGTGCCAGGTCCCCAGTAGAGACGGTAGTTGTGTCAGAGGTAGCAGTCGGGTTTGCACTGCCAGCCTGAGTGCGGCGAAGAGGACGGGGGCGAACACCATGTCGTCGGCGAGGGGCTGGGGGACTAGCAGGCATGCTGGCGTCGTCGCATCAGGAAAATCTGGATTTGCAAATGAGAACTCATAATGCATAATGAGGCATAATTGTGCAAAATGTGAGCTAATTAGCTGAATTAGAGATTAGAGAACTTTACGTTGCCCCCTTCCTAATTAGATCTAAATGACACTCATGGAGAACGGATTCTCACTACTTCATGGAGGATGTGGTCTCGGTGAGGCTATGTTATCTCACAAATCTGCATGCTATTTCATACTATACACACAATACTTCCCGCCAATTGTGTTGTAGCGGCTGTAGTGACATCACATCACCATCACGGAATCCGCGTCGGGTACACATGCTCATTACATCCGGTTATAAGCGCATGTAAACACTGAAAGCCCTATAAACACCGCAATTCGTTATAGCGCTAGAACTTTTACACATACTGTAGATTTAATTACAAAGCGGCGCGGGTTGTGACATGTGACAGCCGCAGAACATTACGGCGGCGCGGCGGGAGTCATAGTGACGTGTGACGGACCCCATCTGGGCGGCACGGTGCAGTCTTCGTGTGACAGCCCGGAGTGGTTGGAGCTAAGAATGCTGCGGTAAGTGCATGGCTGTGACAGGCGGCATAAGACGGCAGCACTCTTTTGGCAGCTCATCTACTGTAGTCGTTCTAGCAGCAGTTCATATACCGCTTCGAGCCAGCGCTCAGCTGCTTGTCTTACGATGAATGTTGCCACGCAAAATTGATGTTCAGTTCAACATCACTTCAGTCACTACCACTATGACAGACGACTCTGTATTCGAAGTCTCAGACTGGTCTGTCCACCAATATGGTTCTCACTCTATGCTTCTTGGTCGTTGTACAATACCTGCACATATTCGTGCAAATATCCTTCCAGATCGAACATCATCCGTTACGAGTCTCCTCGCATTCTCAAACCTGCCAGGAGGAGGTACACAGGTTGACCAGAACCTGGGCCACAAAGCTTCGGCCTGGATCTCATCAAGCGAGCCAGAATCCGATAACATTGTTGCTAAGTACTTGTCACAGTCTCTGTTGCCCGCGCCCGGGCTGTCAAAGAACTTCTACATGTTGTGCAGGGACACACGGACATAACAGCGAAGTCGATCATACCATTGCATCTACCACGGGACCACCATACACACAGGCTACCCTTGTGGACGCTCGAGTACTGGCTGGATGCACACCGGGCGCGCGAGAGTCGTGCGAAGTGGCGGAGGTCTGTCGCATGGATGGAGGGAAAGGCACGAGGGTCTAGTGCGGCGAGTCAAATGGAAGCGAGGGTTCTCGATGTGCTCTCACAGACCCAGTGGCTTGACGACCTCGAAGGACCTGGTCTAGAGCACCGAAGAGTCGAGTCAATATGCATATACCTGTCAGATGGTTGGCTCACCGGTAGAGACATTGCCGACCAGATTGCCATCATCAGCTTCGATATACGATCCTCGAACGTACGCTATGACCTACCACATATCCTCGTGGACCTCGAATTCACCAACGCACTCCTGGATGCTTGGATCAACACGGACAGGTACGACACCGACCGCCGGTACACATTTGTACGAGCTGTGGAACACAACCTCGCACACGCAGTCAAGAAGTCTGTTGGAGGGGTGATGCATGTTAACGGAGATCACTTCGTCTTCTACGTCTTGGATGTAGTGTCACGCACCATTGGCTACGCTGACCCAAGGGGTAGACCGATGAACGCTCACACTAGGGCGGCTTTCACTTGGTGGATGGAGCGAGTGTGCACCGCTCGTGCGAGTAACTTGGATACAGCCGATTTGAACACGGGTACGCACACACCGCTTGGGATCACCGAGCGCACTCTCGCGATTAGCCCCCAGCAGCCTGGCGACAACTCATCATGTGGCATCTTGTCTCTCAACGGCCTCGCACATCATTACTCACCTGACCACATACACCTCCTCCAGTCGCCATGTAGGCAAGCCGTCATTGCCACTGAGAGGATGCGATTGGCGCTTTCCGTGCTGAATCTGCACTCCGAAAACGTGAGCAACAATCAAATTCGCCTTGTAGAAATGTTCATGATACCGTTTACAGCGTGAGTCAGACTCGGGGCCAAGTCCTACCACCGGTGAAGCCATCCCACCATCGGGCAGTGGCATCGAATCAGAGCCTGAGTGTGGCTTCGATAGCGTCATGCCCCCTCGCTTCCGGAAGGCGTTTGGCATGCGCTTGTCCCAAACTTTGTCACGAAGAAGCCCTAGCCCTGGCCTTGGCTCGGAGGAGATCCCCTCGCACTATGCAAATGACATCATTAGCTACGCCGGTTCTCCAACTGGCAGCATGGACATCGAAAATATCTGGCATACGGACAGCAATGTTCCGCCGATGCTATCCGAGTCAGAGCTTGGCGAGCCTAGCATGGATCTCATCAATACCGAGACCGACTTTGAGTCGAACCGGGAGAGCTCACCTGGGTATGACACTCGCTCGGTGGTAACATCCGAGCATGACCGTGTTCTGCCATCATGGTCTGGGAGTGCCTCTGAGTCCGAGTCTGGCGACTCGAGTGACGACGAAGATTATGAAGACTGCGACAATGTCAATGAGCATGCCGCCAGCGCTGAAAGGCCACTGGGAGAGATACAAGACGAGCCCGTGCATGTGCCATCGAAGAGGAGCTTCATTAACCAATACTTCGCCAAGACGACAACCGCAGATTGGCTGGCCAAGGAGAAGGAGCGGAGTGTGGCAGATGCGGAGCGCGTGTCGGAACTCCGAAAACATGCAGAGCATCTTGCCTTGCAGAAAAAACAGAAGGTGACGGCATCCGCAGCAGACCGCCAGCGCAAGTCGCGCCGGCGGAAGCGTGACGCAGAGATCATGAGTGGGAAGCGGGATGCGGACGGAAACTTGATGAAGGCAAAGGTATGGCAGCCTTGTCACAGTATTTCATATGGCTGCGCAACAACACCGTTAACATGGCTTTCACTGAATAGAAACTTCGCACGTACGATGAGTCAGACTGCGATTCTGAAGCACTCGACCTTGCCGAAAGTTCACGGCCGCATCGTGACTTCAAGCGAGTCCAGAAACTAAAGAAGAAATCGAGTCGAAAGGGCCGCCCAGTCACTAAGCCCTCACAGCCCGCGAAGACGATCAACTGGAAAGCCCCGCACATCTGGTCACAAATTGATGATGCTGCCCGAGTGGTCGGGTATCCCTACAGCCCGAAGGTCATTGTCACTCGATTGAGACAATTGAATCCGAAGACCTTTGCAAATTTACGGACACAGCGCGTAAGCGACTGGCGGGATGTTGACCGATCGGATGGGAAGATCTGGAAGGATTCTGTGCTGCAGAGCGTCAAGAAAGGTTACCGTCAGAATGGACATCAAGGGCGATCGGGAATTCTCGTGAGTTGTCTGCATTCTTGCTCAAGTCGTCTGTGACAAAGATTTTGTATCAGGACGAATACCCTGATCTGGTCCTGATCATCGTCGATCAGCTGAAACAGCTGCGAGACACAAGCATCGCACTGGATCTTACAACGATACGAGGCATTATGATCGCCATCATTACACATCACGCACCGGCAGTCTTTGAGCGTACCACGCAGAAAGGGAGAACCTTCGAATGCAACGAGCACTTCGTGTGGCGCTTCCTGAAGCGCAATCTTGACTGGACGATACGGCGCGGGACACGAGCTGGACAGAAGTACCCTCCGGAGCACGAGGAGGTGTGCCGGAAGTTCATTCTGAGAGTCGCTAGTGTCGTTCGTGATGAGGATGTCCCAGCGTCCTGCATCGTGAACTGCGATCAGACAGGGAAGACGTACGCATCGGGGAACAAGGTCACCTATGCTCCTGTTGGCTCCAAACAGGTCGCCATAGTCGGCGCAGAAGAGAAGCGTGCCTTCACAATCGTAGTTGGCGTCTCGGCAAGTGGCAAGGCCTTGCCTTTTCAAGCAGTGTATCAAGGCTCGTCGAAGGTGTCGTTGCCGCAAGGTACTCCAGGTTGCAACGAGGCGAAGGAACTAGGTATCCGCTTTGAAAACTCCAAAACGAAGACTTACTGGTCGACCTTGGACACAATGTGTACGTATGTCAGGGATGTTCTTGTTCCCTATCTTGAGGAGCAACGAGCCCTTCTTGGACGTCCAGATCAACAGTGCATCTGGATCATAGATGTCTGGTCAGTCCACAGATCGAAGGCATTCCGGGGATGGATGAAGCGGTACTATGTCTGGATCATAGTCATCTTCATACCCGGAGGCTGCACGGGTCTCGTCCAGCCATGCGACGTTGGCATTCAGCGACTGCTCAAGCTCGCTATCAATCGCTCGGCTCACGCTGACACCGTCTTTGAGACGTTGGACGAGCTGAAGAGAGGACTCACGGCGTATGAAGTTCTCCTCAAGAAAGACATCAAGACGTTGCGAAATAGGTCGGCCCAGTGGTTGGTCAACGGTTTCAAGGCGATCAACAAGGAGGAGATTGTGAAAAATGTGAGTGTCCGTTCAGACTGTCGGCGGTAGCGGGGATCTGCACGTTATCGACGCATGCTCATCACGTAATCAATACAGGCTTTCCGCTTTTGTGCCGTCGGTGACCTCAACCTCTCGTATGAGAGTCTTACCAGTCTCGAGACGAAGCGGGCTCTGCTCGATCTACGTCAGTCAGACCCGGAATTCTATGCCGAAATCACATCTGGGCGCGCTGACGAGCCGCTTGCAACCTCCGACTCTGACGACTTTCCCGAAGACCATGACATGGACTCAACAGTTTTCGAGGACGACTCTGCTCTTCGCCTCGATGAGCTTTCTGCGGAGATAGCACAGAACTCAGCTACGAGTTCTCCAGCCTCGGGAACAACGGCGAGCGCATCTGATGATGAGTCAACCGGATACGTGGCAGGCTATGATGATCTGCAACCCGATATCGAGCCGCAGGACGAGATACTTGCGCAGGGCGAGTCGGGCCCTATCATGGGAAAGCGGCGGCGAACTGCCAACAAACGGTACAACAGCGCAAACTGGGTACACTTTGATGATGATGTGCCTGACGATGTCATGGGTTGATATGTTCGGACATTGATCTTATAAGTGTGTAGATGCATCTATTGAGGGCTCTGATCGGCGGCGCATGCATCATGGTGCATGTATCAGTGTCTACATACGTTGTTCTTGGTTGTACAGCGCCGCAGGCGGCGAAAAAAAGCAGGTTTCTTGGTTATATGTCACAACCGGCGTACACATTCGTGACCTGTGACAGTGCAACTTTGCCGGCGTGGCGAAGGGTTCTGTGACGTGTGACCGCCGCTTTGTAATTAAATCTACAGTACTGTAGATTTAAATACAAAGCGGCGGTCACGCGTCACAGGCCCTGTCGCCACGCCGGCGACGCTGCGTTGTCACTGGTCACAGTCGAGCCCGCCGGATGTGACAAACCTCCGACATCACGAATTTTCGCCGCCTGCGGCGCCGGTAGACCAAAATCCCGCCGCCCCGCCGCCCAAGAGGCTTGTGTCACAGGTCACCGACGCTCGCGCCGCGCCGCCTGAGTGTCGCGGGGCCGTCACACGTCACACCCCGCGCCGCTTTGAATTTAAATCTACAGTACTCATTAGATGTTTGATGTCGACCCCTTGTATACCCTGCAATATTCCCATCCGACGCAAGCTCACAGTCGCCGTCTCCCAGAAACCCCGTGAGCGCCCGTAAGGAGCATGAGAGGATCGTCGAGAAATCGCAAATATAATAATGTAGTGACACTGTAATGCTAAACTACCATGACTACATACACCACACCCACCGCCTTTGCGGCGAGGCTCAAGTCCTGGGAAGCCCAGGCTTCACGCGAAACCTGGGCTCTGGGATGACCTGACAGCCTGCGGACTCGGATGAGATCTGGGGCGTGCATTGTCTGTGTCCTGTCATCGTGCTTGGTGCATGTGTGCACGGCGGCATCGTTCCCTCGACCTCCGAGACGACCTGCCGACACATATGATGACCGAGCGCGGCGATCTCGGGGCTTCGCAAAGACGCGCGTTCCGCGGGCCATGGTGAGATGCGTGGACCAGCATGCCTCGAGACTCAGAGTCGCCGGACTGTGCTCGGCATCGAGCACACCGAATCAACTCCTGCGAAGGTATGCGTATGTGCATACCCCCGCCGATGCTGAGCCAAGTGCACAGATACCGCGCCCGAGTTGCGCTTCGCGCAGCGTTTGCGCATTACCTCACCTACGGTCATTGGCGACTTGATCTGCGGGCCGTGCGTGGATCAAAAAGGTCGGGGGTGTGCGAGTGGTACACTCAACGTGTATGCAGTGGAGCTGACGTGGGCCGTAGTCTCCTGCGAGGACAGCCCTGCATAGCAAGACACACTGATCAGCACCTCTGTGCGACCCGGGTTACGAGAGCTAGCAGACGCACTGTGTGACCGCCGCAGGCGGTAGTGTGATGTTGTGGTCGTCGCGAATGCCACACGCCAAGACGGGCGACCAATGGGGTAGGTTTTGGACGCAGAGACTACATCTATGTCGCCTCCCGGACACGATACAGGCATGTCAGTTAGCCTCGAGGCGGGGTCTCTGCATCTGTGCTTTCACTCACATCCACATCCATCGCATTGTCGGTTGACAGCAGTTCAGGCCCGAGCTCGGACGAGGGTGTACGTGCGCACTGCAAGCTGGAATGGTCGCCGTTGAGGCTCTGAACACAATAGAGAGCGACGAATGACGCACCCCTCATTTACACCTGTTCGATGCCGCAGCGGCTCTCCTTGTCGACCTCGCTCCTCGCCGGTCTCATTCACACCCCGGGTTCTTCGCTTCTCGAAGCGCGCGATGCTCCCCAGCCCGTCAGAGTCGAATGCACGAGCATCCCGAGCGTCGCCGCCGCCCGCGGCGACCCCCCCCCCAAACAGTGTGTCCACGCGCAGGCAACCCCGACTCCCAAGCCGACGCAGTGCGCACACACGCGTTCTTTGAAGCACCGCCGCACTGCGCCTGGGATGTAGCCTGCGGGTGGTTTGATTGTGAGGCAGAGCCACGACAGCAGTGATCTGCCAACCAAAACACTCCTCCGAGCATGATGTGCCGGCACATCATGCTCGAAGGAGAACCGGCAGGCATTGCACAACTGCACGCAGAAAGCCCTTCCCCGGGCCGAGGACTGCCAGTGGGAGAGATGACTTGAGGCCTGTGAGTGTGACGATTGAAGTGACCAAGTAACCGCTCCCGAGGCATACACTGGCAACTTGAAGTTGGAAACGTACGCAGTTTAGGGCAGACCACGGTTGACTTTGAGTGGCGACATGCGATACGAGGTGCCAGTGAAATTTGATGAACGGCATGGATGCGTCTTGTATGCGGATCGTAGAGCCTCAGAAGATTATTATGCTCAGGCAAAATCTTGCGACGTGTTTACGAGCGCCCGATCAGCGGCTTGTAGGCTGGCGCAAGAAATTACTGAATCATAACAACTAAAACTCATTATCGACGCTGAAATTGCTTATCGTCCTGAAGGGGATTCCCTGATGACACCATGTAGGATCATACTAATGAATTGGGTGCCAATATAGTGATAGTAAGTAGGTTCAGTATGAAACGAGCGTAGGTATATGCATGCCCAGCCCCGCCGCCGGCGCTGCCAGTGGTAGGATTCTACCCGCGGGTGTGCTGATGTGTACCCATACCCGCCCCGGGTACAGATTCGTCGCAGGCCGTGAATTGCCGGGGGCTTACCCGTACCCATACCCGTGCAGCGGGTACGGGTCATGTGTAGGTTGACAGGTCTGCGGGTCCATGTACGGGTGGGCAAGCAGAAGAAGTGGACAGAAGGGCGCAGAGGCTCGCGTAGGCTGGCGCGGGCAAGCGGGCAGCACCCGTTGTACCGACTCCTCGCCGTGCTCCCTACCACCTTCCTCGGCGTACCCAGCATCGACTCGCGCGTCCCAGCCTTTCGCTCATCCATCTTCCCGTCTTCCCGCCCTGCGTCCCGTCTGTATGCTCCGCCCACGAACCCTCCCGTTTGCTTGTTGGTTTGTCTGCACCCACCTTTCGCTCGCCGCTCATCGGCCATGCCTGCGCGCTGGGCATTCGCCCTGCGCGCTCGTGGTCGATATGCGTGCGGTACTGACTCGCCTGCGCGTACGTCCGTCAGCGGTGTTCTGCGTGCCATTGTCGTGTGCGTCGTTGCCTGGTTGTGTGACCGCCCGCCCGCATGTGTACGCGTTCATCGGCCGCGACTGCGCAGGGCACCCGCCCTCCTTTGTTCCTGCTTGCTCACTTCCCTACCCAATGTCCTATCCGCCCGTGAGCTCTCCAGTCCACCTGCTACTCGTTGGCTTTCTCGCCCGTCCGTTCGGTCGCTCGTCCGCTCGTCCGTGCACTTGCCATCCCACTTGCCCGTCCGCTGTCCCGTTCGCCTGCCTGCGCGCTCGTGTTCCCACTGGCCCGCCCGCCTGCATGTGCGCTCGCCGGCCACGTTTGCATGCTGGGCATTCGCCCAGCACGCTCGTGGTTGACGTGCTTGTGCTGTTGGTCCGCGTCAGTCGCCGCCCGTTGTTGCTGACACTCGTCCGCCCGCCGACTCACTCACCCGCTCGCCGTCTCGCTCGCTTAAGCTTGCCGTCCCACTCGCTTGCTGCTCTGCTCGCACGCCCGCCCGTCCACCCGTCCGCCCGATGGCTCCTGACCGTTTGTCGGCCTTGTATGTGTGCTGGGTGTTTGCCCAGCGCACGATATACGCGTGGTCGACGGTCCTGCCCGCTCGCCTGCCCGTGCTCCCGCCTCTCACATGCGGGCCCGTCCGACTGTCCGTCCACGCCCGCAGCCCACTTACCTGTCCCCCGGCTTGCCCGCCCGCCTATTCGCATTCCGCGAGTTCGTCGGTCGTGCTGGGCAACTGCCCAGTACGCTCGTGGTCAGTGTGTGCTGCCGTTGGTCTGCCCGCTGCTTGTTCGTCGTCCGTCCCTACACGCAGGGCATTGGCCCTGCGTGCTCATGGTCGTTGTACACGTCGCGCGGCACGTCGACACGTCCTGCGCCTGCCGTTAGTGAGCCCGCGTGCATATGCTTGCACTCACCTGCAGATCCTCATCCTCGCCCTCGTCGCGCCCTCGCCCTTGTCGCGCCCTCGCCCTTGTCGCGCCCTCGCCTCGCTCTCGCCCATCCTCGCAAGCCAGCCATCCGTCCCCGCACTCTGCTCGTCCATGCCGGCCGTCCGGTCGTCACTGCGCCCAGGCCCGCGGTGTGTTCGTCGGCTGCGGTGTGCGGTATCGTCATTGATCAGTGATCATGCCTGCCAGCACGATTACGATGCACGCACCATTTTGTGCTCCCAGGCCTGAGGAGGTCGCCCTCATGCACCAGAGCCCGAGCGGATGAGAGCGGGCAACCGAGTGGGCGAGCGAGCAGGGGCGTGAGGGCAACGGCAAGCAGGCAGAAACGGGCGAACGGGCGAAAGCGGCAGGGAGGGCGAACGAGCATGAAGGCGAGACAGCAGGTGAGAGCAGGCCAGCAAACACGCTAGTTAGGACAGGTCATGAACGGGCAGGAGGGAGTGGGCAAGCGGATGTGCGAGAGGGCAGGTGAGCTCAAAGTCCCAAGCGCCGGTTCCGGAGTTTCCCGCGCATACGTGGCTCGCGCTAGCGCCAGATGCGCAACTCTGGCGCGTGCTCTACTTAACTACTTACTACCAGCCACGACGCCTGCCCGACCTCACCTCAAGGCTCGATCTACATACTGCGAGCTCGATTGCATCTTTTCAAAAACGCGTGTCTCCGGGGCACGCAACTCGGCTCGTGCGATGCGCATCTAAAGGCTCGAAGGCTCGAGTCGGCTTCGGTGAGTACCATCACCGCACGCTCCCCCTTAACGTCCTCTTACTCGCCACGCGTTCCCTCGTCCACGCGTCCTTCGTCCAAACAACTTCTCTCTCTCCCACTTCCTCGCGACCCGCCTTCTTCCGACACGTCTGCGTCCACGCTCGCGCCCCTGTCGTCATCCCCATGTCTCATTCACTGGATGATCACCATGGCTCTCCACACGAGTGGCCTGCAAGACGAATCCCGGCTCCTGGGCGGTGCGGAACTGCCGCGCGCCCGATAACGGCCACACAGTAGCCAACTCGGAACTGGAGACCGACACGCCTCCAAGTCTCGCTTTGCTCGACGAGTCAACTCCGCCACGCATCCTTCCTCCCACATGCCCGTCTGTTCAGTATGCTCGTGGGGGGCAGGAGTCTTCGTTCAACGCGTCTGCTGCACCGCTACACACTCCCCAGTCCAAGCTGTCACTCCTTTTCGCACCCGACGAGCGCGGGATGGAAGGGACAGCAAGACAAAGGATGATGAGGTATGGCCATCGAATGGCGAGGATGAGGAGAGAGAAGACCGTAGCAAGGGTGAGTACAACAGCTCGTAAGTCAGACTCTGCTCGTCTGGTCATTCACGGCCAATCAATGGTCTGCTCACATCAGGAAAAACACATTTTACTTGGCCGGCTTGACCAAGGCAAATGGGATATTGGTGTTGCTTGGGTGACTTGACCAGGTCGCCCAGCTAATCTGTATGACTTGAGTCACTTATAAGCCTTTCAAGACGTTTTCTTATTCCATCTTACTTCTTCAAGCATGTCTGGTGTCCTTCGCTGTTCTCACCAAGCCACTACAGGTAGCCCAAGTAAGGCTAAATCCTTCTACATCTTGAGCATCTTGGGATTGAGCTCAGTAAATATTGATATATTTCATAGTCTATCTAAGTTGTACGTTGTACATGGCAGACTCATACTAATCCTACTCAAAAATGAGAATGCGTTGAAATGATCATACCTTGTAAGAACAGAGGCAAGTATGCGATCAGGAACACCAGGAAGATACAGATGATACACCTATTAATCCACTGGAACACCGGGCTGCGGTTGTAGCAGCCCGCCACGCCGATGAACGCGCCGGACGATGTGTATTTGCAAAGCGTCAGTTGACCCTTGAGCGTTCCGAGGTAGACCACTATGAAGAGTCAGCTATGTGTTGCAGTGAACAACGGGGCCTGCTTACTCGTCGTGATGAAGATCTGCACGGACAACATAACCAGCATGTTATGGATATGGAAACCGGGATGACCGTAGTAGAACATCAGGAAACGGTCGATGGGCAGCTGCGTTCCGAGGTAGTAGTACTCTGGGCTGAGCATCTGCTCGCCCATACCCATGCCGCTCTTTGTCTGGAAGTTGAGGATGGTGCCGAAACCGAGATCACGTCCTTTGCCACACTGGTAGTACTCGGCGTGCTTGATGCGACCACCACGACCGAACGCGTTC